TGAGGAGACAGTATGTCGAGTCTTCCAGTTGAGCAGGCAGGGAAAGGCGTGCATGGGTGTGCATATAAAGGATGACTTTTTAATCTGAAATTCTCTCACACACACACACACAGCTAGAAGAGTAGAGGGGAATGAAAAAGCCCATATGGAAGTAACTAAGAAAAATTATGCGTGGGTACTCACTAGTGCAGAAGATAAGTTTCCATTGTAAAGCTCCTAGGTTGATAGGTACATTTATCAGGAACTTGTGGTTTTGGAAGGCCTCTGATTCTTCCAAAGTTCAGAATGGAAGGGAAAACTGAGAAAGAACTGTATCAGTTTCTCCCCTTTAGAGAAGAGAGGATGTATGACTACTTCCATAAGGGAAAACAAGGGCTACATGAATTTGGAACTTGGTGGGGGAGAACGGGACTAAGAAAGAAACCCCTCTATGCTTCAAAAGAATCCCAGAACAACTACTCCAGGACCTCCTTGTTTAAGGCAAATTTCCTTCAGGCATGGAGGAAACAGGGGGGGAAAAAAGTGTTTCCACACTATCTTCTGGTTCGCAGGCAATCATGAAGATTTGTTGGTGTCACATGAGGTAATATGGCATGGATCCCAATGACAGCTATCTTTTTCAGCTCAGTCATGAATGTTTTGTTCTATAGAACCTGTAGATGAAAGGGAACATTCGTTCTGAGGGCAAGGTTTCTTTTTCCTTTGATTCTTTAAGAGGATGGGGGTGAGCAATTTTCCTTTACCATTCTCTGCCACTTTTGGTCAAGCAATACTCCAACTAGACATCCATCTTGAAAGGTGGGACAGATGCTATAAACGTTTTTCCTATTAGTCTTCCAAGAACAGACTCTTACATCCCTTCTCACCATAACGGTGGCCACAGAACAAGAGAATTGGTTCCTCCAGTACAGACAGCAGTAAGGGATGAAGCTGCAGAAGTTTTGTTCTATTGGGCTGGTGCATATTGTCTTTTACGTTGGGCTTTTAAGCTTCATGCTTAAAGAAGGGACATCCTAGCAAAGCTCGTGACTGAAGTGAAGGCCTCCAGGATGCCAGCATTGCTTCGTTGCATCCCATGCTTGACTTCTATAAGCACATCCCGGACAGTGACAGGCCAGGTGGAAAGTGACCATGGAATGACCTGTAATGGACATAGAACAGTGGAAGAGTCCCTGTGTAGCTAGAGGAAAGAGGCCTGCTTGCTTTCCTTAAGTCATAACCATCCAGTACACCAGCTCTTCGAGCACAGCCATTGGGGACGGAAGAGAAGGATAATGGTGCTTGTTGTCAAAGTTGATGAATGATTAGGAGTGCATATTTTTAACCCCTTGCCCCTGCTACTGAGAAATTAGCCTTCTCTCTTGTTGCTAGATTTCTTTCTTTTTTTTTTTTTTTGGTGCAAAGTACCTCATCCTCACTTTAGTCTCTAAAGTAGTGCTGCCGTACATGCAGCTGGTTCTCTTAATTTTTTTTGGCTCTGAGCTAAGCATTCTGTAATGCCATGTTCTGTGTGGGGGCCCCAACCCATCCCATAGCTTCTGTATTCTCCTGCTCAGGAAGAAGCCTGTGAGCAAAAAGGCATTTAGTAGGTGCCTTTAGAGGAGAGGGAATGGACTCCTGGGCTTAGACTTGGCATAAACCATCTCCTTGATAGTTGCTGCAGGCTCTTCAGAGGAATGTAAAAACTCTGTATGCAAACTGGGAAAACGAAAATAGACAGGAATAGGAAAAATCAGGAAAAGAGGTCCACGCAAGACTTCCTCAGAGACTTTCAACAGAAAACGGTGAAAAGAATGGAGATCTCCTGGGCTGTCCATGTGGAGGAAAATAGATGGACAGGCCTCACCCGGTGGCCAGGCTAATCCAACAAAACTTTAGTTACATCAGTCCAAACAGCAGGGGGGCTCCAGCATACAAGAGGATCAGCAGACATGCACTCAAAGGAAAAAAGCCTTTAGAACCAATAACTAGTTTCTGCATCTGAAGAAGTATTACTGAATTTAAGATGGACATTTTACTCTGTTTAAATCCACACAAAGTTCAATGTGAATCTGATCATTCCAGCAGTTCCAATTTCTGCAGAATTTAATTTTTTATTGATTTTTTTAAGTCTTATCAGCCCTTTAGGACAATTTCCAAATATAAGCCCATGAAGTGTCTTCTGGAGTCTGCAGCAAGCCTCAAACAATAGCTCGAAGAGGTGGTAACATCTGCAATTCATCAATAGGTTATTGACTCTAAAACCTAATGATGGTAAAGTCAGAGTTCAGTTTCTCTGAATTGTTTAATTACAAAGCTACCTGTAATATGCTTATCCAGTGTAGTTGATTTGAAGAAGTAGGAATGAAACGGGTTCATATCTAGTCCTTGCTTAAGGACTTTTGTACCCTACAGTATACTTAGCATTGCTTTGGGGTGACTAGAATCATCTGTTTCCATTACCTCTCTTAGGAGACTATTCCACAATTTAGATCTTATCAGGGAGGACGACAGACGGTAAAGTGGATACAGAAACAAAGAGGTTCCATATGTAGCAATTACTACTACTTTTTGCCCCATTTAAGACACTTAATTTCAGTTTGAACAAGACTTGCTGCCTTTATGTAAGTTATTCTTTGCATCCCATTATTCATCCTATTTACAATGACTGATATTTGATATAATTAACCACTATTTTGTAAACAAGATTTATATTAAACCATTCTTCTGGCTAAAATGCTAATTCAGTACAAATAGAAAAAGTCAATGTTGCATGATCATAGTACAGTACACATTTTACAGCATTTAACAAACTCAGTATTGAGATAAGTTGTAACATTTCAGGAGCAAAGTGATTACAGTAGTAGCATTAACTATCCATTTTCAAAATCTTAAACTGTACTGTATTACATTCAAATCAGTCCCCAATCAGACTGGAGATGAACAGCACATTTATTTATTTGTGTTACAATGAGCAAGACAAGTAAACCTTACAACCAGAAAGGTAATAAAGGGCTCAGCAGCTAAAAGTGATAATTATTTTTATAAGCTTAACAACAACATGTCATGGTTTGTTGAGATCACAACAAGAAAGAAAGCATTTCCCTTTTTAAACAAGTATTCCTAATTTCAGGTTTCACTTACACTTGCTATGAGGCAAAGTCAATGTACTGCATGTCAACATGATCAGAAGGAATCATTTGTGCACAAAGCCTACACATTTTTATGTTTTCCCCCAACTGCTTAAGTGTATAATTCAGTTTTTTTTAAAGGTATAATGGAATCATGACCACCATTAGGACGGGGGGGGGGGGTGTTAATTTTAAATTAAAGGGAAAAGGTGGCATGCAATTTCAAGTGCACTGGGCAGGGTCATTTTAAGAAAAGCCTTAAACAGCTTTCTTCCATTTTAAAGCTATCATTTATTGAGGAAGTTATTCTGAACTAGGTAGGGAGAACATCTGAGCCTATCTGAAGTCAGAACTCTACCTAGTTCCTAACTTAACATTTTTTTCCAGTTACATCTAGTATTCTAAGAAGCTCTGGGAGAAGTTGTCATATAAAAGTGTTAAATACAAATATCCTGTGCCTAGAAAGGAAGCCTCCTTCTTTCCAAGTCTATGGGCATAACAGAAAAAAATCTCGGAAGGCTTAAAGAGTGGTTGACAGTGGGATACAGTGCTTGAAACCCCAAGAATGACTGCCCCCACTAATTTTTTTTTCCAGTTTTAACAAGCAATATTTTCATTGTTTTCCCCAAGAACTCCAGAGAGTTTATATAGATCACACCCATAAGAGAGAGCAGTCTTCTCACCCATAAAAGAGAGCAGTCTTCTCACTCTGAGTTTAATGCCTTTTAACCCAATTTCTTCTGCATCCTGAGTTTTTAGATTCCCCCCTCCCCCTTTCCTGTCATTACTAGCCTGATTCCTTCAAGTAGTTTATGCACTCCTCTACCATGTGGGCAACTGGTGTCTACCTTCAGGGTTCAGACATACACCAGGATCCCTTGTGTGGCTAGTGCTGAGCCTATGAAAATCTACAACAGCTCACAAAACTGATTTAATAGTTTGAAGCCTGATGGTACCTGCTGCCATAGCTCAGAAAGGAAAACACTATCTTTAGGGATGTAGGCAGTCTCCCCCAGTCAACCATGTCTATATCTGGACTACTTATCTGAGCTAGTGAATATCATCAGGACACACACCCTGAATTAGTTCCACTGGCTAAAAACAAAACTAGGAGATAGGTAAAGGTGAAAAAGTTACATGCAGAAGAGGAAAGCTATGGAAGAATGGGATTCTGGGGTGGGGGAATGTTTGGTAGAACAATAATCCAATTGGTGGAGACAATATGACTCTTATTCACCCAGTTGCTAGCAGGTACTTTTTTGGTGCCAAAAACTATTGCTTAACTAAGAACATGCAAACAACTTGTCAGCTACCCCATGTGAGCTAACCTGATTTTATTCAGATTTTGAAGGGTTTAATACAGTAAGTTATATAAATGAAAAAAAGACATTTACTATTCACATTACGTCTTTTCACCCTGAGATAATTTTTCAGCCACAATCAGTCACCCAGAAGTATCCATTTGACTCAATGAAGATTTTTTTTGGGTGCCTTAACTTACATCCATTCTGTAGGGCAGTCACCAACATCTGATTTATAAAAGTGCTTTTTAAATGGGGCTGTTACCATCTTGAAATTGTAGTTTAATTTTACTAGTAATATAAAACAGTCTACCTTTTCAATGTTTCCAATGAAGCTGAGAAAAATCTGTAAAAAACCATCGCTGCATATTTATTTTAATAAAAGGGCAGATTTATTCATGTTTACAAACAAATTCCAAAAACAAAAAGGAAAACAGGTATGCTACCTACTAACAACCTTTCAAAATGCCAACAGCCCTCATGCTGTATGAAGGATTCTATATATTAGAAAAATCAACACAGTTCCACTCACAATTCACCAAGACAGCACTATGCTAACATGTTTAGACAAAAACAAAAAGGACTAAGGTTCTGATGTATTTTGATTTAATCCATTTTGCCTGAGATAACAAAAGTATTTCAAGCAAGTTCCATCACATATTGATGTCCCGCATTAAACAATCCTCTACTAAATTCTGAACAAGTTATTCAGTAAGTTTCTCAAAATTTTTAAAAATTAAACAGTTGTTTCAAAACCATTAAGTAGTAAATGTATTTAAGAAACTAATTAGGGCAGAGGCCATAACTTCATTAGAACACCACTGCTCATGTTTTTACAAAGCATTAGTGTTATCTATTTGGCTATTAGTATTAGCAATTTATCTACAATATTTAACAAAGTAAATTGCAGGCAAAATTTAGTACAGTTTCAATAGAAACACCCTTTTCCTGAAAATACAGCAGTATTTGAAGGACTAATTTTTTTCTCTGCATCATTTATAAGGAAGCTTCCCATCTAAGAACAGGAACAAAAAAGTATCTACAAACCTTGTAAACAGATCTGTATCATTTATAAACATAAATAATCCAAATTATTAACAGCCAACAGCAGAAATTTAAGTATCGATTCAATGATCCAGGGCTTCTTTGCCCTTCCCAGCCCTCCCCTCAAAAAGATCAAGATAAACTAAAGTTCTAACACACTGTTCAGGACCATTAAGTACAACTAATGATCCGCAGGTCACTTATGCCGAGTTACCGTTTATCTGTCAGAGTTCATTATTATCCCCGCCCCCCAAAAGCACCCTCAAGTCTGGCAGAAAGCTTTTTTAAAAAAATAAATCTACATTCGTACAAGTGTCTTCTGTTGAAGTCCAGGACAAGACTACTATCTTGTCCATCACAATGTGTGAAAAGACCCAGTTTCAATTTGTTTCTTTACAATGCAGCTAGTGTGTTAACATTCAGCTTACAATCAGAGTGATGTTTCCAAACTATGTAGTGGGCTCCCTGGGGATGAAGAGGTAGCAGACTTGTTCATGTCTGTTGTAAGGTGAATTCCACTGTCAACCGCATTGTTATTTTTGTTGGGAGAAGGGGGAGGAGTGGAGTTGCGTTTTGTTGGAGCATCATCTTCAGCGTCAGTATCATCAATAAGGGGAATATGAGGCTCAGAATCTTCTATTCTAAACTCAGGATGCGTCATAAAATTGTGAATTGAACTTCGTGTCTCAGGTTTTTCTAACCCTTCATATAAGGAACTACGAAATGCATTCACCACTCGGATCTGTAAACATGAAAGAAATACAAAAAACTGTTAGTATGCTGCAGATTTACTAGTAGTGAATATGGTTCTTATGAGTTTGAATCCACAAACAGTTAGACATGAGTGAATCGAATTTGTATGTAATGTAGTGGAACTTGCAATAAACTGTAAAAAATGAGGAGCATTTCAGTAGAGCACTGCCAATCTACAGTTGGAATAAAAATTGTAGAAGTGTACTGTAAAAAACTGAAATGTCTAAAAATTCAAAGTAGTGCTAGAATTATTTCATTGCTTGACGTGAACTAAATGTTTTAAAAAAATGAAGTCAACATGAAAATTTTATCCAATGTACTTATTCACAAATTCAACAAGTTTTACTAAGGAATGTTTTATTCAACACCAAAGGGAAAAGGCTAAAAAAGTTGGGGCACGCAGGGTTACTATTTCTCATGCTGGGAATTAGGATGTCACTGACTATGAAAAAGCCAAGCAAGTGTTCACCGAATGTCACAATGATTGGACATTTACCAGCAGGACTCATGCAAAAGATACCTCTACAACAGCTGTAAATATTCGAGTATATACCTATTTGCCACAACAAAATACATTTCCCCCATAAAAGTAATACGTTCTGTGCCCCAATTTGTTAAAAGTTGTAATAAATTTTGCAATTGTTTTCCATTATGTGCAAAATTAAGTTTTTCCTGATGCCTTTCAAAAGGTGAAAAAGTTAAGCATTTTAAATGCCTCCACAAAAGCTAAGTGGCAGATACAAGAACCTCTTTTTGAGAACAGTGTATGAAAATTCCCAAGACATACAAGTATTGGAATTGCTGCACATTTCAGTATGAAGGCCACCACTGTAAGATTTAAGTAATCACCTTTATATACACAAGTGTGCATCTCAGATGACAAAAACATACAAGACAACCAACCAATGTGTAAGCGGTCACTGGCTAATTATAACAAATTTTATATATACACACATGGCCAAGTCTGTCTTCTATTAAGAGGTCAATTCTTCTCTGCTTTTGGTGCAGAGATGCACACAAGAAGAGAGTCCAAAAAGCTTTATATATATTGCTGAAGTTGTATGGCTTATGTACCATTTACAACTATTAGGTTCATGACATTAGAAGTGGTCTGTTAATTTGCATTTTAGAGCCAAAAAATGATTTTCTACCAACCTAGTAGAATTTGTTACTTAATGAGAAGCTGATAGAATGTACACTCCATGAAAGTTAACAGGTTACAGAACTCTCTTAGGTAACATGTCGAGATCCAAAAATTAACCTTTGCATTTAGCATCTTTAAGAATTTTCTTTAGCATTGTCATATAATCCTCAAAGTATTAGTTTTGCTAACTGTTCAGTCTGAAATCAAAATCCTTAACTATTAACTTGTAATTAAATGAGTACCTATAAAAACCAACACTAATATCAAATACATTTTTCCAGGCAAAACTGACACTGAAAAAAGGAATAGGAATGCTTTGTCACTTCTGTAGCTCCTTTCACTGAGCTTCTCTCAGCAATGTAATAGAAGTTGGGTATTATTCCCATTTTACCGGTGGAAAATGGATGTACAGAGAGTAAGTAACTTGCCCAAGATCACTGAGTAAATCAGCATAGAACCCTGGAATAATATGCAGGTCTGATTCCGAGTCCTCTGCCTTCATCAGCAGATTCCCATGATCAGCTGGTTCAGTACTATTCAGTTAGGCCCTGATTCAGTAAAGAATTTAAGCATGTGTTTAACTTTAGATAAATAGTCCCAATAAAATAAAACAACTCAGGTTCTTTGCTGCTATTAATTCAGCACTAAGGCCCTGATTCAGCAATGACTTCCCTTTGATTTATTTTATATAAAAACAGACACGTTCTCACACCCATCATCATAGCACCTGAGCAATAAAAGAATGTACACTGACAGAACCCAAGACATGAGAGGCACTGAGGAAGTGCATGCAAGAACCAATTAACAGTGAAAAGAAAATACAATCTACATACAAGACTGGCACCATTCTGTCAACGACTGCGCTCCATCTAGTTAAAGAAAGTGCATTTTGGCACCATCTCATGCAAAGAATCCTAGAGAGCCTAGCTTCAAATATCTCAATCAGTAAAGCTGTGTATGTACCTCCCTACAATCAGAAAAGTCTTGCTGTTACCGAGTTAAAGGGTTGAGGTCCTTACACTAGTTTCAACAGGGAAAGACCTTGTTACAAATAGTTGACTTAAAGGTATTTAGCACATCCAGGACCACTTACATCTCTGCATTATTAATGACTTACAGCTTTAAATATCAGGAAAACCATGTCTGACTCTGGTACACTTCCACTAAACTTCCTAGACATGTTTGACCATGAAGAATCAAAATTAATTCCTTTTCTTTGACTGGGATCCCAGTATATCAGAAGCGTTAAAATCTGATGCATTCAGCAAAATGAGGTCTTTGGAGTCTATAAGGGCACCTCGCATGAAGGCATGCTATGGTTGTATTTTTTTTTTTTTTAAATAAAGAGTCACCACAGAATCTATTAACCAACATTAGTTTTAAAACTGGTGTGGTTCTAGTTAGAACTGTGTTCTCTTTTCCACCTTAAGGGAGAAGTAGAGTCAGTTACTTCTCTGCTGAAGAAAGGATTCAAACAGGTTTAGTTTTGCTCCAAAGATTACAGGAGTTCATCCTAATCTCTTACGGCAGAGCTCCACAGCCAGGCACCCCTTCAAGAATGGAAGTATTTAAAATAGAGGCCATCATGGCAGTCACCATAAAGTGAGTGATGGTTGCTGATTCATTTCCTTCGCGCCTTTCTCGAATGCAATGAAGAATTTGCTGCAGTTGGCAAGAGCTTTGTTAACAGCACTGAATTTAAAAATAACCCATGAAGGGGGAAAATCCACAAATTACATCAGCATAAACCAATCCACAGCATGTTGCATAAATAACCTCTGCACTCATTCAGAAGAAAAAACTTTTACCAATTAGACCTAACGTGTACGAGTTAAGCTCCAATACATCATCTTCATTTTTGCTAGGACAATCTTAAATTACCACAAACATTTGAGCCACATTAAGAACGTGTCAAATTAAAAAGAAAGAACATTCAAAATTGAGGATCCTCTGGTCCCAGTTAATCAGGCACAAGGGTTATTTTTTGCAAACATGTTAATGCATCCAAAAATATATTAAATTAGACTGATCATCTCCATTATCCGAGCTGAGTGAAGAATAGTACATTTTCAGTTTTAAGTAACTGAAGGGTTAAGAGTAATACCATTAAGGAAATCTGAAAATATAACCAGTTCTCTGTAACAGTGTCCCTTTTACTTCAACTGTTAGTCTAGATCAGAGGTTCTCAAATTATGTGCACAAAACTCACCAATAGTTCAAGGAGCATTTGCTGGCCACATGGCGCCGGCTTGTCCTTATCTCCAGTTGGTAAATCACATTAAAAAATTAAAAGTATTACTTTTCAACGTAAGTAATGCCATAGCTGCCACAGGGAGGTTAAGGTATCAAGGGGGTGGAGAGGTAGTTCTCAAAACACCACTATGATGTGGTCCATAATATGAAAAAGCTTGAGATCCTCTGCTCTAGATATCGATGTGTGGTACATAATTTCACATTGCTACAAGATCCTGCAAAAATCTAGGGATGATAGTACAATTCAGAGATTGTATCAGCACCTTAGTTACTCTTAAATGGCAAAACTGTACAGTTTATTGATAGAAATGAATTCCTCAGTTTATGTAGACAAAGGTATTGCATAAATACATATTCAAGGAGTATTTTAGAAGACAATTTGGTATGTATTATAAGCATATAAAACATAATTCTGCTGATGTTATCAGGCCCCCCACCATAAAGGCTAAATTGTAGCTTTCCCTTACATGCCCACACAGTGATGGAGTGTTATAAGCACTCCAGGCATATTTCCCTACCTACAAGGCTCGCATAAGGGCTTCTCAGAGTTGCAGCCTCAAAGCTCAGGGGAACACAGGGTCAAATTAGTCCCCAATGATAGCTTTTTTAAAAGCTAAGAATGGCCATACTGGGTCAGACCAATGGTCCATCTAGCCAAGTATCCTGTCTTATGACTGTGGCTAGTGCCAGATGCTTCAGAGAGAATGAACAGAACAGTGATCCACCCTGTCATCCAGTCCCAGCTTCTAGCAATCACAGGTTTAGGGTTGTGTGTCTGAACATCTTGGCTAATAACCATTGATAGACCTGTTCTCCACAAGCTTCTTATTCTCTTCTGAACCCAGTTTTATTTTTGACCTTCACAACATCCCCTGGCACCGAGTTCCACACAGACTGTGCATTGTGTAAAGTAGTACTTCCTTATGTTTCTTTTCAACCTGCTATCTATTAATTCCATTGACCCCTGGTTTTTGTATTGTGAATTGGTAAATAACTCTTCCTTATTCATTTTCTCCACACCAGTCAGGATTTTATAGACCTTTACCATATCTCCTCTCAGTTGTCTCTTTTCCAAGCTGAGAAGTCTCTTTAATCTCTCCCCTATGGAAGCTTTTCCATACCCCTAATCATTTTTGTTGCCCTTCTCTGTACTTTGTTCCAAATCTAATATATCCTTTTTGAGATGGGGCAACCAGAACTGCATCCAATATTCAAGGTGTGGAAGTACAATGGATTTATATAGTGGCATTTGATATTTACTGTCTTGTTATCTATCCTGTTCCTAACGTTAGCTTTTTTGACTGCTGCTACATATTGAGCAGATGTTGTCAGAGAATTATCCACAATGAATCCAAGATCTCTTTTTTGAATGGTAACAACTAATTTAGACCCCACCATTTTGTATGTATAGTTGGGATTATGTTTTCCCATGTGCATTACTTTGCATTTATCAATGATGAATTTCATCTGCCATTTTGTTGCCCAGTCACCCAGTTTTGTGAGATCCCTTTCTAACTCTTCAGTCCGCTTTGGACCAATCTTGAGTAATTTCGTATCATCTGCAAACTTTGTCTCCTCACTATCTACCCCTTTTTTCAGATCATTCATGAGTATGTTGAACAGTACAGATCTTTTGCAGACCCCTCTATTTACCTCTCTCCACTGTGAAAACTGACCATTATTCCTACCTTTGTTTCCTATCTTTTTAACTAGTTACTGATCCATGAGAGGGCCTTCCCTCTTATCCCATGATTGCTTACTTTGCTTAAGAGCCTTGGGTGTTCCTAGCCTCTGTTTGCCAGAAGCTGGAAATGGGCGACAGGGGATGGATCACTTGATGATTACCTGTTCTGTTCATTCCTTCTGGGGCACCTGACATTGGCCACTCTCGGAAGACAGAATACTGGGCTAGATGGACCTTTGGTCTGACCCAGTATGGCTGTTCTTATGTCTTTCTGAAAGTTCAAATAAACTATATCCCCACTGGATCACCCGTGTTCACATGCTTGTTGACAACCTCAAAGATTTCAAATAGATTGGTGAGGCATGATTTCACTTTATAAAAGCCACGTTGACTCTTTCCCAACGTATTTTGTTCATCTGTGTGTCTGAATTCTGTTCTTTACTACAGTGTCAGCCCATATGCCTGATACTGAAGCTAGGCTTAATGACCCTGTAATTGCCAGGGAGGAGGCATGGCTCCTTCTCTACCTTGAGACACTGGCTATCAGAACTGGGTGCCAGGACAGGAGTAAGTATGCTGTACTCCTTAAAGCAGTGTTGCAAATTAATCCCCTTTCCACACCAGGACAGCAAAATGCTTCCTGGCTGCTCACCCGAGCGTCATGTGGTTCTGTACTACCACTTGCAGCAGGCTCTGCTTAACAGGCAGAATGTAACCCAAAAAGTTATTTCCCATATATGGAAAGAAACTAATGAACATTCCCATAGACATCAGATTTTAAAATACAGTGCTGTACTGCACATCCCTATTCCCACAAACAACAGAATGTACTTTGTATTTATGTGGCACTTTTCATTTAAAGATTCTAAGTGCTTTAAAAACATCAAATGAATTAAGCCTCACAACATCCCTGTGAGGTAGGGAAGGATCCTCATTTTACAGAATGGAAAACAGGTAGACACACAAGTGACTTGCTCAAGCGCATACAGGAAATCTGAATCAGAAACAGAGCCCAGAGGACCATACTTTCTTTTTAAGAAGAAAACTCCTGAAAGCTTTAAAAAAAAAGTCTCTGCCAGCACTTAGGCCAGCAATGTGAAAGTTCTTAAATTAGCTAACTACTTTTCAGGCTAGTTAACTAATTAAGTTTGTCACTTAGCCAACCCATAAGAATGTTTGCAAATGTTAAAAGGTAAATTATTAAAACAGGAGGGAAACTCATCTAGTCAAAAAAGTTTAATCTTTTTACACATTTGTTTAAATAAAATACTTGTATATTTAATCTATAAATAAGTGTGCTGAAAATACTTACATGAAACAGATATAATTGAGATTAAGGATATAATGCATTTAAAGTATCCATTTTAGAATGAACTATTACACTTCTAGTCTTAACAGAAGAAGGCTGAAAAACCCAGATGCCACTTAGTTTAGAGAGCATAATGTAAAAAGAACAGAGGTAAGTAACTGACAAAACATCACTTGCACTGGAAGTTTATGTACTGCTGCCAAATGAACCTAGAGAGAGAGTTATCCAGTTTGAATGAAATAAAGTGTTGTACAATTCAAATATTTTAATGTTCTTACCAATGCCCATGCTTGATTGGCTGAATGCTTCTGCAGCTTTCTGTATAGTTGGAAATTTACTACTATTGTAACTATTTGGAACAAGCCTATTTTATTAACCTGTACCCCGAAGTTAAAAAATAAATAAATATTGCCATCTGGTTAAGAACAAGTCCAACAAAAAGTAAGATTCAGTCTATGAAGCATTCCTATCATAAGCAAGCTTTTATTTGGTCTATATTTTAAACTTGTAAACTTTAATTTAAATAATTTAAATCAGATTATTTTGCCAGAGAAAGTGTTAAAATGTAAAATATGTAACTTTCAACTGTGTGTTATTTTAAATTATGGTTTATTTTCAAATTGGTATTACCTACTTTTGTTGGACCAGTTTAATGTTATATGCTGCATTGAGTAAATTATGAACATTTTCATAAAATGAATCATTAGAGGCATATACTCGAAAATTTACAACAGTTTTCCTATTTCAGTTTTTAAGAAGTCCCTCTGTACATGAATGAATGAAGGCACAGTACATACAGGCTCACAGCTTTCATGTTTAAGTCTTTTGTTGCAACTGTTTCCATCTGTTCTCTAGCCCTCTAAGAAAAAAGTCTTGAGGACTCCACTTTGTGAAAAGAAAGCTTTATGAAAAGCCTGAACAATGAATTTAAATACTAAGGAGAAAATGAGAAACGTTAGGTGTGTGAATTAGGAAATGTTAATTTCATGCACTTAGGAACACACACTCACACCCCACAGTAGTAGAAGCAGTAGTAGAGGAAAACACTACATGTGTAGGGGTAGAAATATTTGTTACATCATGATGCTGGCTGGCGATGGAAGGTTGCCGCCTTAGAGCCCCCTGAATGGTACTTCCACTCTGGAAAGCATTCACTACATCCATCTGCAAGGAATCAGAGATTGTGACAGCTTGCTCAGCAAGAGAGAGAGAGAACAAGAGAAAGGACCATCCCATCTATAACACACAAGAAGTAAAGAAAAAAGGCACTTTTTATAGAGAGATACACAGGCAAGAGTTGCATTTAGAGCTGAAGAAAGTAAAGAAGGAGCTTGAGGGATTACAGAGCCATCCATACCCCCATCTTGAGAAAATCTCAGTCACACAGTTTAAAATGGTCACCTTATTGGGATAAAGGGGACAAAGGGGAAGATTTAATTAAAAACCTCAACTACCACTGTCTCCTCCTACCTTTTCCAAGACCATACCTGAGTTTGTATCCTGTTCAGGCCCCTAAACCACAAGATCTGACCACGACGCAGTTCTCTTTCAGCATGATCAATCTCTTCTACATCTTCTGAAAATTCTTCTTCAGGAATCTCCTCCTTCTGTGTTCCATGCCCAGCTTCTTTAAGGAATTTCAAACGGCTGGTTGGAATTGTTGAGATTAGCTAAAGATGAAGGAAAAGATGTATAAGAATTAACAGAAAGAAGAATGGTAGTAAAAATTATATTTTTTTAAATGTAGTTTAAGTCACTGAACATACAATGTTGAAGTCTTTGCCATTTTGCCTTTAACCGATAATATTCCACAAAAACTATTTTTAAAATGAAATGTATCTTTCTACTTCAGAGATACAACTGTCCTGATATCACCCTATTCACTCAGTATTGCTGGACACTCTCCAGCTAAGTAACAGCCGCAAAAAATGTGAGAACTCATCCCCCTACAACCTCATTTCAAAGGTGTGCAGCTGAACTCAGGCTATTGAAATTCTAAAGTTAAGTGCAAGCTCTTCACTTACTGAAGAAATTTTAAATTAAAAGCATAAACCTACATTAATATAATGTTACAGTTGTCATTTTTTTTTTTTTAACACTACTAAGAGTCCGGTAATGCAAAAGTTAGAAAAACTGCCAAATTACATGTCTGCTATTTATTCATGTAGCCCACACACAGCAACGCCCACTTAAAATTTTGAAACATGTTTAACATCTTTTGGATGTCAATACAATTCTCATATGTACCCAAAAAGAAAAACCCAAATATATCAGCAAAGCAAAACATGAATTCATCTCAGGTTGTCTTAGCTTGTACACAAAAAAAAGTTGATTTACCTGGCCCCAGAGTAGTGTTCCCATTCCCAGGAAAATGGACCATAGCCATTGTTCTATTGTAAGTTCTGAACAACTGAAAGGTTTCCCACCAAACTGTACAATAATTATCTGTGGAAAAAGTAAAAAAAAAAAAGTCAGAGAAAGCAATACTTACTGAAGTTTGTAAATTAGTGAATGTAGGTAGTAGGTATTGTGAATTTTAGCTACTTAGTGCTTCAAATGTAACACCAGTCATAGAAGCTGTTTACGTAATATATTAACTTTAGTTTGTTGTTTTAGTATTTTGATCCCCTGCACTTCCCCAGGCACCATCTTCAAACTACCTTTATTCTGAACCTCAGCTTAGATACCGAAGAGTTCTCCTCCATGCTTACCTTGTACTTCAAAAGTAGTGATAATTTAAACAGTTACTCTGGTTCAATTTAACAGATAAAATATAATAATATTTTTCTTTATGCCTACATCTAGAAAAACAGCAGATTTTACAGAGACCAAGATTTATGTTTACAATTTACTATTTTTTCCCTGTTAGACAAAATACAGATGTGTAGTACCCAACCTAGAGTTACAACTCTGCTTTGTATAAAAGCAAGTACTGTATCAAGTGGACTCCCCTCCCAGAACTAGACATAGTAGTAATATTTTCCTATTTTAAAGATGGTCCAAAAATAGCAATTAACACAGCACTCATTAAACAGCATTTCTGCACATCCATTTCAAGCTTAGCAGCAAGTATAAAAACCAAAGAGGAGTTGATTAGGAACCATAATATGAGCAAAAGTGAAAATCTGAAATCAAACTAGAAATTAAGGTTAAGTGTAAATTGTAGTAATTATCCATGCATTGTTTAGTGAGGGCAGCCAAACATATGCTATCATAAGCATATACACATTTGTATGCTTTACCTGTCAAAATTTAGAGAGCTTTTAGGAAAACCAAAATGCCAGCATTAAAAATTAGTATTTGTAGTGTATACACATTACAGCGTGGTAGCACTCAATTTGTGTATCATCATTTTAAGTTAGCATTTGGCTAACTAGATCTTTTCCCTAAAGCTTCACATATTATATTTTAGGCTTTAAAATTTTTTTTAAAAAAATCTCAAATTACTTTAAAATTAACCTTGTACTATTGATTTTTGTTGTTTGTCATTTGTATTAGGGAGCTCTCAAGGGGCATCAACCAAGATTGGGGAGCACAGAGTGCTCGGCACTGTACATACACATAGTGAGAAACAGACATGTCTTCTCTTTGAAGAGTTCCCAAACCAAACAGCCAAGACAGGAAAAAAGGACAGGAGAAAGTACTAATCCCATTTTATGGATAGGAAACTGAGGCAGAGAGATTCAGTTCCAAGGATACCTATTTTACTCCTTTTAAGGAGCCATCTTGCCCCGGTCAGCAAAGTGTTAATTTTTTGAACTCTGGTACTGTATGAGACAACCTACTAAATACATTGTTGGCACTGATGTAAAAGTAAGAGACTTCAGTTAATGAACTGGAAGCCATCTGACCAGTTCAAGTTTTGTTTTATCTAGCTGACAAGTAGGGATAAATCCTTTGTTTCACAATGCTGTATCAGAGTTTCAATGTGTTACAGTTTCTGTAGAGTACTTTACATTTGCAAAGTGATGCATAAACAATCTTTAAAAACATCTTTGAGGTAGGTTAGTCTTAGCCCCATTTTATAGATTGGGAGGATAGAGAAGTGAAGTAACTAGCCCAGAGTTATACAGCAAATCAAGAGTAAGAGCCAGGATTAGAATTCTCAGGTTCCCTGATCCTATTCCTGTGTTCTTGCCTCTAAATCACAGTGCTTCCTTGTGTCATAATTTTATGGAATTTCAAGTTTTCAGGTAAAACAATCTTAAAGGTGTGGGTGTGTCTTGGCAAGGCTAAGTGGCTTTTTTATACTTGGCAGTTAAATGTTATGTCAAAAACATAGCGTAGTATTAAATATACGTTTCAGTATATTTCTGGTTTTCCTGATGAACCACTACCACCATAAAAAAGGACCTGTTAGAAACAAATGTGAAACCACAAGTTTAAGAGTCCAGAGAACATAGTTAAGTTGTCATTCACATGTGTGAAGCTGAAAGATACTAGAATTACTTGGCCTGGAAAGTTAGCTGCCATGTGATTGAAATATTTAAAATTTTGGCAGACTGTACAGTCTGACCAGTTCTTTTAACATGTCCCATATACAAAAAAAATAAAAAAAAAAATAGAAGGGTCCCCAGATGTTTGTAGTCATTAAGCTTAGAATAAGTTAAAGGAAATATAACCTCAGAGTATAGTCAATTTATGTAATTTGTTGCAGCAGGACATTCAAATACTTGATTTGGTGATGCTGACATTTCCAAGCTGATGTAGGTATAATTAATTCTCACTTTGTAAGGTATAAACTGATCAACACTGCATGTTTGATAACAGTACACTTTTTCTTCTATTGGTCTTAGTTCAGCTAATTATATATAGGAAGATACTGCACTTTACAAGTGTTCTGACAATGAGTGACATATTTAGAACACATTTAGGTACATAACTCTTCAAAGTCAGATTTTAAAGTATCGATTTCTATAATGGGAAACTGTTCAATATTTTAGGCTCAAATTTTACATTTGTAACAAAGTTTTAAAGCTCAATTTAAAATGGTCTATATGAACCAACTTTTCCTCCCATGTTGTCAAACGAAGCTGTTCATGTTTATAGATACATAAACCTGACACTACTTTCTCTGGAAATGTTGAGAGACCTTCAGTGCAGATTCACCAACAACAAATAAATTAAATATGACTAACAATATTAAACTAAAATCTTCAATTACCTACCTGCACAATAAACGTGCCCAGAACAATAATACAGAAGATGGCATTGTTGAAGATTCCTTCAAAAACATTTCTTTCACCATGGATTTTCCGGGCATTGATTTCATTAAAAAGTTGCATCATCACAAATGTATTAAAAACAATAGTGTAATGCTCTGAAGGGGGAGCATGCAGAGGTGCATTTCTTCCACTATCAATATCAAAAATTTTCTCACCTGTGTAATAAGACATTTCAGTATCATGAATTAACAAAAAAATACACAATTAGAATCAAAATAGTAAAGAGGTCAGGATTAACATGACAGATTGAAATGCCATAATAAATTAGCTTTAACTTCTAGAAAATGAGCAAAGCTTTTATAATATTCTTACCAGCAAACAGGAGTGTAAAGACTACCACAAGTTGATAGACTGCATGACCCAAAATATTCTTCATCATCGTGCGAGAGATCAGAGGTTTATTTCTACCATAAGGTTTCCGCAGCAAGAGAGATTCAGTAGGTGGTTCCGTTGCCAAAGCAAGAGATGCTAATGTGTCCATTATGAGATTTACCCACAACATCTGCACAGCTTTAAGTGGAGAATCCTATAAAAAGGATATGTTTCCTAATAGATAACACAATAAATATCCTAGAAATGAACAAGTTGCAGCCATTAAAAAAACATTTGCTATATGGAAATTTGGTGTATTGCTTTGAAGAGCAGTACATTCTTTAGAACAGCATGCAAAATGGTGACTTTGAAAAGATTTCAGTATGCAAGAGTTCAGTTAAAGAGGCACATGTTTTCAGATCTTAAATTAGTTGAAACCAGCTACCACCAGTACCTACTTGTGTAATACATGCTCCTGTGAATGCAACAATTACTGCTACGACATTGACAGTAAGCTGGAACTGAAGAAATTTGGAGATACTGTCATAAACATTTCGTCCCCACATAACTGCTTTAACAATGCTTGTGAAGTTATCATCTGTGAGAATAATATCAGAAGCTTCTTTAGCTACATCTGTTCCAGCAATACCCTGTTAGGAAGAACATACATAGGAACACTGTGAATCAAAACAGCAGGAATAACTGATATATAGCGTATTTAGCATAATAATTACATTTCTACTACATAACTTTCAATTAAGGAAAAGTACAACACTAGAATATTAGGCATACAATAAACTCACTTTTGGAGAACAAATATTATTTCTTAAAAGGTCTGAAGAAGCGCAAAATTGAACTGCAAGACTGAAATTTTAACAAGTTAAAGATACCGATGTTGATATGTATTTAAAAATTATCAATAAAATACAAAAGTTGAAGTACTTTACTGAGGCAGGTACCAAGGGATAAACACATTTTATATGCTTAATCAAATTAAGCTCTTGTGCTCAAACAATAAATCATCCTTTTGTTTAGTTTAAGCGTCTTTTTAGTTTTTAATTTGAACCATTAGATAAACCTGACCTCTTGACATGGTTAAAAAAAAAACACCAACCACATGTAACTGCATTGAGGAAACAGTTATTTTTTTAAGCAGGTGAATAGCTTGGGCAATCCAATAAAGAAATTATATAAGTTAAGGTAGTTTTCCCATCAAAGTTTTATTTCACTGACCAGTTATCTTATTCTCTCAGATTATCTTTACTAAATGCTTTGTTACAGGAGCAGTACGTTTGCTACCATGTATACCAGCACAAATATCAAGATAGTGATGATCAGTTGATGTTTTAGTTAAAGCAGGAGTCCGCAGAGAAAGCTGGAGTGTTTAAACCTAGTGTCTTTTTTATTTCATTCATCATTTGTTGGCAATGGATTAGTAATCTTGAAAAAAAAAAAAAAACCATCCTCAATATACTATAGATTCATGGTCCATAGTGCTTCTCCTGATAAGACTTTGTCATGATTTTGCTATAATTTAAGTACTATTCATGCTCTGCCATCCTCATTGTAAAACTGTCCCTGTAAAGTATATCACAGAAATATAAACTATAGTTTAACAGCTGAAGTGTGCTGTAATCTGTCTATGGTTTAGTAATATTTAAAGGAGCCTCTCTAAAGGTGCTGCACAGGTAAAACAACTACACAGTCTCAATCAGAGCAGACACTTTCTGCTCTCGTTTTCGAAAGAATATAAAAGGTGAAATAATTACACAAAATAATGACAGACTTGTTTGTGTGGTTTCTCGTTATTGAGAAAATACACAGACATTTATTATCTAAGCTTATGTGGCTCCCCAACCAGCATGGTTGGTTGAAACGGCTGAAGTACAGTAATAGTATAAAGTCTTTCTGAGCCACCAGATAGTGCAGTAATACAGTACTGCAGCCTGTGCTCCAAATCTAGCTGATTTATATAGGTTAACAGAAATCAACTTCATATGATCAGAAACAATGTACCTTTTGGAAAATAAACTTTTGTTTTATAATAGAGAATGCTTCTCTGCAAAAAACAGAAAAACAAGTGTGTATGTATACAAGGCACAAGCATCGGGTAATGAGGGTCTGAGATATATTAGTTAACCATTTATAATTTTTTTAAAAATCCCATTGGAGGCTAAATTATGTTTTATAGATTTCAAGGAAGAGTATAGTACTATACCCCTCCCCCACTGAATGTAAGATACTGGACCCGTTGGTAGCAATATTTAATGATCTTCATTTGTGCAAGCACTCTTGCCAGGAAGTCAACTCCCAGTGTCAAGAAATTAAAAATACATAGGCCACAATACTGGTATATATCAGTTTAACAAAAATCTCAATTCAACATTTAAAATTCATAAAATTCAGATGGCTGGAGAATGTCATACCAGAAACCATTATGCATACAACAGTGCTTGTTTTAGTCAGAGGAAAATAGTATTTTTCACATGTTGGCATCAATACAATAGTGAGCTATGCTCCTGAAAAGTGCTAACTGAGACTGGTATGCGAGTTATTATTGTTTTGCTTTCCCATGTGAAACTTTACTGTCTATGTATCTGCTTCTGTTCTAGGAAAAATGCATCCATGTTAGCTTCAGCATTAAAAAAAAAATCCCTAAAGTAAGAAAGCTTCAGGATCTTGTAACCAATCCACCTGACACCAAATTCCACAGAGATAACATGGTGTACATTCTTATCTTCAAGTTGGTGTCAGAATTCCACCTTGACAAGTAGCCAGAAAAAAACAGAAGAAACTTGAACTCAAGTCTAGGTGCTTAAAAGGAGGTATCGGTTTTGTATGGACCACATTAACATCTCATGATTGAGGATAGTTTTAAAATTAACCCTCCTTGTAACTCAAGTAATTTCAAGTGTAGGGGAGAGCACTATCATCATCTAGTGCATTCTAATTCCAGGAATCCACTTCTCCACAGCCTTACTCAACTGCAATCCCATGCCTCTCTTGTAAGACTTTGGAACAATGAATTTATCTTACATTAAGTTACTGTAAAATGAATTGTCTTCCTAATATCAGAGGAGTAGCCGTGTTAGTCTTTATCCACAAGAACAACAAGGAGTCTGGTGGCACCTTAAAAACTAACAGATTTATTTGGGCATACGCTTTCGTGGGTAGTGTGTCTCAGTATATTTATGCCTGCATCTGTAGCTTTCACTCCATGCATCTGAAAAAATTTTTTTTTTTACTCACGGAAGTTTATGCCCAAATAAATCTGTTAGTCTTTAAGTTGCCACCGGACTCCTCATTGTTTTTGTCTTCCTAATGTGAAAGTTAATTAAAATTACCATATAGACTCATTCATTAGCCCGTTCATTTATAAGCCGACCCCCCCAGATGGTTAGGTAAAAATAGCAAAAACTGTATGACCCTTTCATAAGCCGACCCTATATTTCAGAGGTTGGCAAACTTTGGCTCCTGGCCCGTTAGGATAAGCTGCTAGTGGACCTGGACGTTTTGTTTACCTGAAGCGTTCACAGGCACGGAGCCCCTCAGCTCCCAGTGTCTGCAGTTTGCCGTTCCCAGACAATGGGAGCTGCGGCCACAGGGAGCCGAGGGGCTCCATGCCTGTGAATGCTTCAGGTAAACAAAATGAGACTGTATTAGATATTTAATTCAATGATTCCATAGAGTTTAAAATCAAATTTTGTTGTAGACCCATTTATAAGCCGACCCCCGCTCTTTGATGAGTCACTTTTTTACCAAAAATATTTGGCTTATGAACGAGTATATACGGTAGTTAATTATAAATAACTGAACATAAAGTTGAAGCTAGAAAAATGTCCACAGAAAGGTGAAATAGGTGCCAAATAAAGAAGGATGTTAATCCCAGACATAGAAAATAATCAAGTAGTTTCGCATGACAATATGAAGTTACTTTTTCTTTTAGCGCATTAACATAGTTTTAGTCAAAGGGTACCAACTGGAAGTCCTAGAAAGTAACTCTCTTTGGTTTATCCACAGAATAGGTACAATATGAAGAATTAGTTCAGTTTCCCTGCTCAATCAAATCCTTATCCTTCTCACCAATGCATCCAACAAGGGCCTATATCTATAATATTAGTCAGAGCTAAAATTAAAAATTGGATTTGGGAGCCCAACTCTTCAGCTCCTGTTTTTGAAAATCACCGTTGGGTGTCATGTAGTCAGTCAACTGGGAACGGAGACCAAACTCATTAAGTAGATTAAACATCCGTCAGGTAGTAATTAATTCCAATCATTAACCTGTGATAGACATGATATGAAGTTTTGCCTATATTGGTTAATCCTGATATATTCAGTCCAAAATTAATATCCGAATCAAAACAGGCTTGGAACTTTCTAGTAAGCTATGGAAAATTCATCTTGGAGAATTTAAGGTTGCAATCCAGCTGCTCTCTACCCTCTCAGGATCTAGCCAGACAGGTACAGTTACCAGATTCTAATATAAAGAGATGCCTGGATTTGGATGATGAAGGTTGAACAGAAAGGGTCCCACTATACTGGAGATCTCAATGGCCAATATAAGTGGGAACAAAATTAGTCTTTAATACTGTGGGATTATCAGGATCATGTAACCCATACCTCCTCACCATTCTTTAAGGTCAGCATACTTAAAGCCAACAATTTAGTGCGCTCCCACTCAGTGAGATCAAGCAATTGTAATGCAGTATGACTCAATGGGTACGCCTATCTTCTTTTACACTAGGAAACTGAATAGTACAAGTACCTGGCAAGATATTGCCCAGTCCCACACTTCAAGATTTTCCAACAGGGGAAGATATTTTTCCTTTCTTGTTGATGCTGCGGTCCAACTGATTCAAATCAGACCACAGTTTTGGGACACCACCTCTGAAATCTCCACTTGGTGCATCACAAATGTATTTGTTTTCTGGAAGTTTCTAAAGCTTGGACTACTATAGGGAAGCAGCTCACCAAGTATAGAAACTTTTTTGTATGATCTCCCAGCCAAGGTCTGATGCATATGGTCACTTGGACAGGAGGATTTTGAAAGTTCAGAGTTTAAATTTCCGCAATCCTCTATCAATCATAGCTTATTCACAGATTTTAAAGCCAGAAGGGACAACTGATCATCTAGTCTGACCTTCTGCATAATGCAGGCCTATAGAACTACCCTGAAATTATTGCTGTTTGAATTAGAGCACATCTTTTAGAAAAAGAGAATCTTGGAGGGAATTTGTTAAACGGATGCATTCAGAGTCTGTGGCCCAAGACCTGGTCTCTGTTCTTTGAGGGTGCCTCCAGATGCAGGGGGCCAGGGTATCTACAAAACACTGCTCTGACTGAAGACCCAACATCCTTCTGTATCTGATACTTTTGTGAGAAACTGGAAGCTCTGAGGGTCCATAAACTCATTTAACTTTTCACTTCTAACAGGTCATTTTTAGACAAAATTATAAAATAGAGATCAATGAAGTACTGGAGGAAAATATCCTTGGTAAATTTTAGAAATAAGTTTTTTCTTCCAGTCAAAGCTGCAACAGGCTATGTTGTTGATCTAAGATTATTTCTATATAAAACCAATTGCAAACATTGATCATATCTCACTTTAGGCACCTTGACAAGCATGACAAAAGGAGCAGAAGAGGTAGCAATGAACTTCTGCATAAAAACAATTTGATTTGTAATTATTAAAACTGATTGGAGACGAATGCTTTTAAGTAGATTTCATTCAGCATCTTATGACACAAGAACACACCTCCATTCTCTACAGCTGAAAACCTGAACCTTAGGTTAAAAGGTAAGGAAGTCTGAAGAAAACAAAAAAGCGTGGGAAGCGGTAGCTGTCAATGCTACGTCTGGTAGCTCAGTGGGCTACCAAGCTACAAGCAAATTTGTTCAGCTTTGTCAATTCACATATGACACTCACAGCAAGAAAGATTGATGCTTTAGCTAAAAAAGGCTAAAAAAACAAAATTACTTTTTAACCACTGAAAGTAAAGAGACTAGAGTCCATACCATGGCAAAGCCAACATCTGCTTTCTTCAATGCTGGACCATCATTAGTGCCATCTCCAGTTACAGCTACAACTTGTCTCTGCTCTGAGACAGTGCTGTCAATTATACCTAAAATGAAAGCACACAAAGATTTGAATTTCAGCATTGGTAATTACAAGTTTGTGGGGCAGCCTGACTGTAGTGCTCTTTGTTTATGCACAATACTTAGTTAAGATGGGCCAAGTACTCCTTAGGTGAAAGGACTGGGATGTGAGACATGACCTCAGGTACTGAGATCATCAAATTTTAACAGATAAAATGGACAAGCCTAATTTAGTTTTTAAAAAGCCTGAGTCCGGTAAAAACTTGCATTTTGAATTTTTGAAACATTGAATGAACATGCACTTTACCTTTTACCAATGTGTGTTTGTCAGTGGGTGAAGATCTTGCAAGCACACGAAGCTTTGGCCAAATCTTATCTATTCGCTCTTGCTCTATCTGTACAAAGAATGCAGATTAGTTATAATGTGCAAGTAAAACACTATAAAAGACAAATGCAATCCTACTGAAAAAAAACAGACTCACCTCTCCTTTTTCATTACGTATTCGTCTGTTGAAGTCTTTGCCCTCTAAGCATATGAAGTCTTCACCAGGATTCAAAATGCCACATTTTGAAGCAATAGCACGAGCAGTGTTAATGTTATCACCAGTGACCATGCGCACCGTTATACCAGCACGCTGGCATTTTTTTATTGCATCTGGTACCTGTTTATGGAAAAAAAGGCTTGTTATTGTAGTTTTCATGTTGATTGCCTAGTACTTGTCCTAGCACCACCAAATAAAGTAATGGGTGATTACAGTAAATTCCACTACTGAAAAAAGATGCACTGTGTTCTTGACCTGATCCATAGTAACACACAATGTGACTGTATGGCCACCTCTAGTACTGGACTGCATAAAGAAGTTTACAAGTATTCCACTGCCTCGGAGATAATAGCCTTAGCCTCCGCCTCAAGTAGTAAAGGTCCTTCAGATCAAGGTTCTTTGTTCAATCCTCAACAGCTGACCAAGTAAAGTTGGTGTTCTAACATCAATAATTCACGTGTCCATGCACAGACTTCTTTTCCCCATAAAATTTAATTTTCAAATACATTTACTTTCTTTTTAGTTATCACTTAAAGAGCCTCAAGCAATTGACCATTATTGTGTATTTCACTATCAGACTTTCTGCAGAGCACCGCTATGAAATAAATTGTATACTTTAAATATCTGCAAAGAGCCACATGCCACGTTAGTAAGCTCTGGTGTTAAGGTTTACAAAAACAAATACCAGTATTTTATTCTCTGCATGTTTTATGATTTCGCCATTGTTTCCAACTGTCAGTACGCTACAGTTGGTAGTGCTCACTTTTGGGATAGCTCAGTGGTTTGAGCATTGGCCTGCTAAACCCAGGGTTGAGTTCAATCCTTAAGGGGGCCATTTAGGGAACTGGGATAAAAATCTGTCTGAGGATTGGTTCTGCTTTGAGCAGGGGGGTTAGACAAGATGACCTCCTGATGTCCCTTCCAACCCTGATATTCTATGATTGGACTCAAATCCCACCCTGGGATTTGTTCTTATACCTATTGCTTATACTTAAATGCATTGTGAAGTGTTACTGTTCTCCTGAAAAGATCTACAAAGGAGATGTCTTCTTTCCTTACCTCTGGTTATTGAGACCCTATAAAATGCCCCCCACCCCCCCCCCCCTTTTTTTTTTTTTTTTTAAAGGAGATACAGAAGACAATGGCCAATATTATTTGGTCCTAAATAATGTTGTTTCTCATGTCCAAGTTTGTGAATGCATTACTACTGAGTGCTTACTGATTGTTCCATTTGCCTTCCAGGTCATTGTAGAGGGCTACAAGAACACACTGGCAATATGAAAGTCTTAATTATTTATAGTCTCCATCTATGACACTTTCACTAGGTTCCTGGACCACCTTTCATCACATAAGCAACATTAAATCTTAAGCACAGTAAATAAACGAGACTCTCTTTTGGCAAACAGTCCTGTAAAGAATGTCAAGAATCCAGATGCCTAACAAATTGATCTAGGCGAAGATTTATTTTAAGCAAAAATACAGTTTAACAGTTACAATGAATTCACAGTTCTTCCTACCTCAGGCCTCACAGGATCTTCAATCCCTACAACAGCAATGCAGGTAAGACCAGTGACAATATCATTTTCATTGTCCCACTCTGGCTCAGGTTCTCCCGCTGGGAAGTCTCTGAATGCTAGACATATAGTTCTGAGTCCCTCAGAGGCCATAGGTTCAATCACAGTTTTTATAATATCATCACGGTCCCTAGGTCTGAATGCCTTTGGTTCACCATTAGCACTCAATATTTTGAAGCACCTAAAAAAAGAATGGAAGAGGTGACTAAATACCAAATAAAGGATTTAGTTTATGGTAAGATTCAGAACCACATACTTAAACACCTGATAAAATGAAATTGTAATACTCGCAGGCATAACTAATCGTTTTCCTCAAAGGAAAAAAATTTTGAGTCCCTCCAAAAGGCAAAGGAAGGTGGTGTCAACCTTACATTAACTCCCCCTCATATAAGCACTATATTTTGCAGGCGCTTAAAATGGCAGAAATTGAAAGTTAATATATTAGTCTGTCTGTATTGTACTTCTGTGTTTTGTGTTCAGTGAGAGATGAACAGTGGGGAGCTCCACAGCACAAAACAATGCCCCAAAGCAGCAGCAGCTATGGTGGATAAGAGTGCATAAACTAACATTACCTTCAAAGAATTAAAACTCTCTAAACTGGTATTTAGATAATGCTCACTCTGACCAGCTGAGTCTAAGAAATTTAGCTCTTTAGCAATATGAGAACCGGGTCCAATGTTTCACGTGGTACAGGAGTAGGATTTAAATCAATTGTGCTTATCAATTTATATGGTACTTAATTTGGTCTGACACCAAAATATCTGCCTGCAAGACATCAGACCAAACTGCAGTGATTTTAAGCAAGGTTTTTATAAAAATTATATTTCTAAGATTAGCTTCAGACTTGTTGTTTTTGCAAGTCTGAGCTTTACATCTACATGTATAACTTGAACACAAGAAAACCCCCTTCCCCATGCTCCGGGTACCCTTGTGTTTTGAATTGTCTGTATATATATTGTCGGGATTTCCAGTAAAGTTGGTAGTGAGTTGATAAATGTTTAGCAGTAAACAAGTGACCTCTCCCTACCCGCAGCAAGTAAGTAGTATAGTCATTAGTAAGGCAGTGCCAACAATCTGTAAACTGAACCGCAAGTTCTCTTTAGACAGAAATACAAAGGAAAGCATTACAATAGCCCAAAAACAGTTTATCACTTCATAGGTTTATTCCTTCATCTCTTGAAATACTTTAATATAGCACAAACTGATCCAAATGATATGGTAAAAAACATTCACTAAAAATCAGCAGGTAATTTGTTTCAGAAAGAAACAAGTTTAGAGGATCTGACTAATGAGGAAAGAAATATTAGGTGTATTTTTGACCATAGAAGAGTTTGATTTCTCATTGCCAGGAAATACAAAAATAAATGTGTTTCCTCCTCAAGCAGCAAAGCACTAAAAAAAAAAATTCCACTTAAAACTTCAAATACATTGCAATACAGTACAATATACACTAACTCCAGAAGCATAAGAAAGATGCTTTTTAAATATCAAGTCATAATTACATACAACTGAGTAGACGTGTTAACATTCTAAAGTACCAAATGACTCAACCGTTCCCCACCACCATTATAGCCAAAATATGAATTTCAGGTCTCCCAAAAAGCATGTAGGAAAACTATGTTGAATTCTTAAAATGCTATGGTCTAAAACTACACATTTAACTCAACACTTGTCAATAAACAAATAGAACATTCACAAACTACATCATGATTTGTTGAGACTAGAAGCAAGGTAAAGAAGGAAAGATGCACAACTGTTGTATATTTAAATATTGGGAAATTTTTATTACTTAAACAAAAGCTATGAAGCAGTCAAATCACAAATTCACAATGCCATAAGCTAAAATGTTTAAGTCGATAAAAATTTATGATTTTCCTTACCTTCCAAGAAAGGTCTTAAAAATATTTAAGGAGGTGATGAGGGAATCAAGCTCCTGCTAATAGTTATAGAAAGAGCAAGGGGGATGGAGGTGGGAAGTCACTGGTTAAGTAGTTATCAAAAAAATAATAATGTAGAGATTACTTAAAGTATTATTCTGGCATACTAGATAGATTTCCTTATCTGCTATTTTCTTCTGTTACTTTTCAAAAGACTGGAGTAATTCTATGTTTTCAGCTACTCAGGTAACTTCCAATTCCATCTAAGTTTTCATGTCCCCTCTCCCCAACCCTGGCCAGAGGTCCCAAACCCTACTTCCAGTTTGGCATGTAGAACAGAAGCTCATGAGAAAAAACAAACAAACAAAAAAAACAAACACAGGAATAAAAAAAAGCCACACTGTTTAAATTTGGATAAGGGTAGGTGCCTGGTACACTAGTGGAAAGACTATTTCAATTTTCCAACATGGAAAGAATGAGGACAGAGAACATTTTAATTGTCAACAATTAAGTAGTCGTGATTTGTGATACTCTGATGAGATTTAGCTTTAAATTAATGTGTGGAACAAACCTGTGTCAATGGCTACATCCACATTCTGTGCCAAAGTGACCAGAGAAACACAGAATTTACTTCCAGCTATTGAGACACTGAAGTATAGAGAGGAGGAAGGATTTCAGTTTTATCTTTCAGTAGTAAGAGATTAGTGATCTATCTACAAGAGTGCCCACGTTGACCAGTTTGATCTAGGAGCATTGTTCACTACCAATCCAACAAGATACAATTTTTAGTTTGCAACAGCTCCCTGAGACTTTCTCCTGGATCTAGCCCTGATAAAACAGTGAGGATATGATACAGGTCCATTATATATACCCAAGCTTTTAAAAATACTCAAGCAGATACTGGTGAATAAAACTAGTTCTGGTAACAGACTGCGTTCTTTTCAAGGAGACAGGATCTCGGTCTAGTTTTGGCAACTCGGCTCTCTTTTTGGAAAATGGTCAAGTTTTCCCGTTCCTCCATGGAAGATTCAGAACTCCACATCAAGGAAAAATCCCCAAAGAGATCCTACCCATGTCAGGTTCTGCATGCCTCTTGAAGGACAGAAGAGTTTCTTCAGGCTGACATCTGCTTGGGAAAGGTCTTAACCCTGGAGTTGTGGATACAGCTTTAAAATCCTATGAGTTAGCTGGTCAGTTACATTATCACTAGATGATGAAACTGATGCAGAGGAAACAAAATAGACCAGAAAAATCATCTTAGTTAGGGGGGCATTAACTGCTGAGCATGAGGGAGTAGTTTCCTTTTGGTCACAGAAACTTAACATTTAGAGCAGTGAACTCAATCAACTATCATGACTGAATCAGAACTTTCACACTTGAAATAGGGGGCCTAACTTTTGTTTCTTCTTGAAAGCTTGACTGGGCTGATGTTATGGTCTGGATCTATGCCTGACAGAGGCACTATCCTTCCCTAGAAAGTTGGCCACTGCCTGTCAGTTGTTCACAGCTGGGTGGGAAACACGCCGCACAGCAACCAACTAGCGACAAGACAGTCCAATGGTCTAAAAGTAGGGTGAGGAATTTCTCAGGTGCATGGCTGTCAAAGTGAACTTGCTTTCTGGTCCCATTCACTTCTCACCTCTGACACTGTCCAGGTAAGAATGAGGACAATCGATGAGAGGGCTGATGCACCTGAAACAAAATCACTGACACACAGAATGGACGAAGGAAAGCCTGTCTTCAGCTTCAGAGAGGCTTTATGTATCTTTTAAAAGGAGTAAATAATTGTTCTCAGGCAGGGCGTTGAAACTTGCCATGGAGGGGTGGGGGTGGGGGTTGTAATGGTTTGTTGGTTCTATTTCGGTCTAGCAAGCATTTTGGGGCAGTGGTTGTCTCACATCTAGAGAGAGTCCCCACTTTGCTTGAGCGTAAAGCCATAGCACAGTGGTTGTGACTAGCCTTCTGCTCTGCCCACTTACCTGCTTCCTGTCTCAAAAGCAGATTCAGAGTTTGCTTAGGCATAAGAAGCAGCATGCCATTGCCTGCACCACACTTCAACTTTCATGCAAGTTTTCCCTTCTTCTGCAATGTGATTTTAGGGAAGCAAAAGGAAAAGAGAAACCTACTTTACTGTTTTCCTGCTTCACTGAAATAGGAAAAAGCAGTTGTGTGAAAAAGGCAAAATATAGTAAGAGCAGCTCTCAGGGTAGTAGGAAATAAGTCTGTTACAGCTGGATGTCACCTTCTTGACTAACAGGAGAAAGGCGTATATCCCAAAATCTGCATTGGTGGCAGCCAATACATAGAAGAGCTGGTACTTTTGCATGGTATAGTTTAACAGTTTTACTGTTCTCAAATGGGAAGATAAAAAGATTATCTGATTAGTTTGTCAATTACATGTACATAACATTTAAAAAAAATTAATCTTACTTTTTAAGAACTATCTCAGAGGCACCCTTGCTGAATATCCGAAAACTGCCATCAGAATTTTTTAACACCGTACTCATTGATTTTCTGACTGAGTTGAAGGTATATACTTTGTAAAGTGCCTCTTCTGGTATTTCATTTCTTACATCCTGATAATCTCTTTTTAAATCCAGAAGCAATCCCAGCAAGGCACATTCTGTTTTATTACCAACATGACGTGGTAGGCCACCTTCTTTTTCAGGAGGCTGTAAAAAAAGATGCAATTCTATTCTAGTTTGCAGAATACAGTACTCCATTATTAGAAAATTGCAAATTTAAGAGCAGTAGAAGTGAAGTTATTACCATCCTAGAACCAGATATACCCTGCTTATGAATTGCTGAATTTGTAAATCAAAGTCACTTATTACAAGTGTTAAAAATCTGTATTTATAAATGCCCTGATCAAAGTGAAAAGAAATTGGCAGCTTTCATAAATTGTAAGCCAGGAAGGGACCATTTATGATTTCTCAGTTAGACATCCTGTAACAGGCCAAAGAATCCAACCCAATAGTTTCTGCATCTGATCCCATAACTTCTGTTCAAGTGACAACATCTTTATGGAAAGATATCCAACTTTTGATTAAAAAGACTACAAATGACAGAATCCCCCACATTCAAAAGTAAGTTGTTCCAATTCTTAAGTGCCCTCGTTGTTAAAGTTATTTCTAGTCCAAATTTGTTTAATTTTGGATTCCTTAAAATTGACACATTATGTCTTCTCTGATAGATTAAAGAGCCTATTACTATGAAATCTCTTCCCCTTGTAGGCCATGATGAAGTCACCCATTAACCTTCTCTAAACTAACTATATTGTACTTAAGTCTGATTGTAAGGCATAGTTTATAGAACTCAAACTATTTTTAGCTCTTTTCTGAACCTTTTCCAACTTTTCAGCATCCTTTTTGAAGTGCTGACAACAGAACTGGACACCATATTCCAACAGTGGTCCCACTAATGCCATATATAGGGACAGTACCACCTCATTATTCCTACTCACTGTTTCTCTACTTATACAGCCAAGGATCAAAAAGAATGGCCATACTGGGTGAAACCAATGGTCTGTCTAGTCCAGTATCCTGTCTTCCAACAGTGGCCAGTTCCAGATGCTTCAGAGGGAATGAACAGAACTGGGCAACTATTGAGTGAACTATCCCGTGTCATCCAACCCCAGCTTCTTGCAGTCAGAGGTTTAGGCACACCCAGAGCATGGGGTTGCATCCTAGCTAATAGCTACTGATGGACCTATTCTCCATGAACTTATCTAATTCCTTTTTGAACTCGGTTATACTTTTGGCCTTCACAACATCACCTGGCAATAAGTTCCATGGTTAACTGCATTATGTGACAGAGTTTGCCCTCTTAGCTACAGGACTGCACTGTAAGTTCATGTTCAGTTTGTTACCCACCGAAATCCCTAAATAATTTTTGGAGTCACTTTCCACCCCCACTTCCCCAAGATACACTGCTGAATCTTTTAAGTATGATCTACACTCTTTATTCCTAGATGTAGGATCTGGCATCTGGCTGCGTTAAACACACATGGTGTTCAAATGAGCCCACCTTACCAAGCAATCTAGGTTGGTCTGTATTACACCGAGCTTTTCTCATCGTTATTTACCACTCCACCCATTTGTGTCATCTGCAAACTTTACCAACTTCTTTATATATTCTTCCACGTCGATTGATTAGCATTAAGCCAATGCCAGATCCCTGTTGGACCCACTAGAAACACCTCCAATTGGTAGAAGATTCTTCATTTAAATTTTTCATATCAGTTAACCCATTTTATGTTGATTTTTGTCATGCTTTTAAAAAATAAAAAGTCTTTTCAAAGTTTTTCATTAGTTGATGCCAGCTAGCCTAAAATACAGTTAATATATTCTGGACAAAATTTGCCTATTCAAATTAGAAGACATGCTCTTGCAAATTAACAAGACACGTAACATTAACAACTTCACCAGGCAGATGGTTTAATATTTTTCTCAGATTCTAGAATATTAAGATACTAGTGAGTTAAAAATTGTAGCTTGGATCTAGACAAGGTATTGTGATGCCTCTTTTCTCTGTAAGGTGTTTTTTTGGGGGGTGGGGACAGTCAAGGGTACCACTGTTACTGGATATAGCAAAAGGCTTAGAGCAACTTTCCTTTTTACAGGTACAGTAACACTAATATCATTCATAAGGGTTGTTTCCTACTATTTCTCCAAAAATCACTCTTCCCATGCAAGCATATTATAGGTCCTGAACCATCCGCACAAGACAAATTGGAGCAACGCATATTGTTGGAATGAACCTCAGCACTGAGCCACTCATATGCACCTACTGCACTCTTACTGGATATTTCTCTCTCTGTACTGGCTACTTTCTGAAAATTTTCACCAATTTTCTCTACGGGTAGCAAACATATCTTTTTCACAGAAAAAGTTCTAATTTAGCTATGTATTGTAGAGTTGATATTCCTTAACATATAGATGGGTACTGGCAAACTTATGTAATTGGCTGGAGTATTTAAGGCAAGTAAGCCATACTCTGCTATATGCTTCACAATTTTCTGTCTACTCAGAAAGCAACCTCAACATTTTTCCTTATTATATATGGCATGTAATATCTCCTGAGATCATGATTGGTGGTGTGTATATGAATCAGGTAAGTGGATCCCACCATTAAACTACTAGACAAAAGTAACAAACTAAAAAGAGTGCAATATTTATACTGAATATCAAGTTGTGCAAGATTTGTGATACAGGTACTGAACTATTCATTTCACAAATGCTCAACATAATGAAAAGGAATCAAGTTATAAACAATGATGGATATTATTGACCCTTAATCTATGCACTTATTCTACTAACATTACATTATCCAGGAATAAAAACTGATCAATTAAATTAAGCCACTATTTGTACTTGCATTTTTCATTATATCTAGTGAACACACTATACTGCTCTCACATGTTTATATTGTGGTAGCACCCAAAATGTGCTAGATGCTTTCCAAACAGAGGAGACAGCCCCCAGCCTGTAAAACAAAATTCATAAGTTTATCCAAGAATTAGGTATTATAAGAAAGTCAGCTTCTTGGAGTCCATTTCTGAATCACCAATTCAAAATAATGCCAACTGTAAAATAAGCCAGTATTTGTGTTTTGAATGGTTCCCAAACCAACTGAAATATTGGGGTGTCTTAAATTACAGTACGGTTAAAAGGTACCTCACCCTTAACTCAGTTTATGCACATTTAAATCAGCTAGTTGATGGTCAAACATGACCATTATTTGTACAGGGTTTTTTTAGAACTAAAGATGACTGGCCTTTTATTTTTACTATTGCATAAAACTAAGGAAATTCACTTACCAGTATTTTGGAAGTATAAGCACAATTAACAGAAATTCCTGTTACAAGATGAGCCAGAGTTTTCTCAGGAATAGCATCTGGTTCTGGAATTTTTTTATAATGTTTTTCACTGACAAAAGCCTGCACCACTGTCATTCTGTTCATGGTCAATGTTCCAGTTTTATCTGAGCAAATGGCTGTTGCATTGCCCATGGTTTCACAAGCATCCAGGTGTCTCACCAAATTATTATCTTTCATCATTTTCTATGAAGAAAAAAAAGCAAATATGAACAGCTAGTCACCACCACCGCCACCAGTGCTTCAACTTTCAAAACTTCTGACTTTTAAGGTATTGGGTCTTCAGAAAGCGCTAATACCTACCTGCAGAAGAGCAGGCCTCTTTAAAAAGGTGCCTCAGGTTGGCAACCCAAATACTGACACATACAGAAAATTTATACCCAAATATATCATGCCACAATAAACTGCATTTTAAACATGTCTACTAGAGCCAGAGTCCATATTCTGCTGCATTTGTATGTCAAACTTAGGTGAATAAGTAGTAACATTCCAGCGAATTACTCAAAGTGAGACACCAGCTATATCGCTACACTAACAGAATCTGGGATCTGAGCAGACCACTTCTAATAGAAGACATTTTGTTCAGCATCTACTCCTGACTGATCAACCGGAGATGAATATTCAACTGTTTCCAAAGATGAATGTCGCTGCTGTAGGAGACAGTTGCTTTACAACTGCTCTTAAAAGGGGGGGGGGGGGACAGACATATAGGGAGGTTGAGCCCTTTCTCCCTCCCCAGTTTTTAAGTTATGTTTTTACATAGTAAGATTAGCATACAACTTAAATACTTCAGCTTGCATTACAGGGTGCTCTCCATTCACTGACTGGAGAGCAAGACAGAACTACTTTGTTATATTTTCTTTTAGCCTAAAGGGCAAACTATTCAGTCATCTTAAAATTTGTGTGATGTTCTGACTATATTTTTTTGTTAGAATTTTATTTAAAATGTTTCAAGTCAGTGAAGTTTGACTATTCAAGAACTGAAATCTGTGATAATGGACTGAACAGCCAAGAGAAACAGACCAGATGGTGCAGAAAAGTAGTGCATGAGTTTCACCTATAGACATTAGTTCAAAATCCTAGTTTCAATCATTCTAGCTCCCAAAAGGCAGTTAAGTGGGCTATAGGTCTCGAATACCAACGCTGCTGCAAGTTGCAATAAAGGTACATTAGCAGAGCTGTATGAAAAAGCAGCACACAGTCAGTGTCTGCACTATGCCAATCTCAAAGCAGTGTTCAACCTCTCATTATCACTACTGTATTGGAACAAAATAAAGATATCTAAGAATCTGAAGTTTACCAAGGTAGCAGATACCTTGTACTAGATAGTAGGCTCTAGATATTCTGCAATATTGACTCAAAAGTAGGGGAAAACAATGAATTGGCAAGTACCCAAGCAGACTATGAAGGATTATTGCATCATTTTCGGCTTAAATTTACTAATTAGTAATGCTTATTGGACAAGTGTGTTAGTGGCAGAAAGGAAAGTTTACATAGCTCAGTGTGCAATCCTAACACACACACACACACACACACACACACACACACACTCCTTTATTTTAAGTTAGTACAATAGGTTATGGTATGAATATGACAAGCATACTGGAGTGCTAAAACTATACACACATGCACATATGACAGAAGTCCTTCTATTCCAAGTCCATGCACCAGAACCACTATGCTTCACTTCATGTCAAGTAGACTATTTCTAAGTTTACATTATTCTGCCCAAGGAACCCCTGATTTATTTTAATGCACAGAGGATTAGATACCAACTCGCCACAATGTTTTTTCATTGTACTGTACTACAGACGAGAATGAGTGAAGTAAGATTCCCTCAGTCTCCAATGAAGACAGTTTAACAATGTAGAATTTCCTGCTTTGCATGATTTAGAACTGTTTTATGTGCCCACCTACCTTTAAGTGTGCTTTTTACACATACCTTTACAGAGTAAGCCAGTGAAATAGTGACTGCAAGTGGAAGACCTTCTGGTACTGCCACCACCAGGACTGTAACTCCAATAATGAAGAACTTCACAAAGTATTGAATATAAATTGGTGTGCATTCAGCAAGCCAAGGTCGCTTCTGAACCCAGAAGGTATCAATTACAAAATACAAGATAAGGATAAGGACTGTGATTGCAGACATCAACAAACCTTTTGTTAAAAAGAAAAGGATAAGCAGTTATTTAAAAAAAATATATATCTTCTCTATTATACAAATAACATCTAAAATAAGATTTTAAAAAAAACTACCCTCATTTTCAGATTAAATGCAAAAATCTGAAAGTGTTATTTAAAATGGGAAAAATAACAAAAATCTTAAATATAAAATTGTAACAGGTAAGTCAGAAGATTTTGATGGTTCTCAAAGCAGTTATAAACTTAGCTCCCAAACACACAAATACAATTTTTTATTGGCTATATAAACTCTTACACCACTATATTAAGATGTAAGTAATGGACGAGTCTTCACAAAGGTGAAGGGTAAAGCACATTTGTGACAGACTTATGGGTAAGGGAAGAGTTCTCAGGAGAAAGAATAGCATTGAAGATAGCAGGCTGATCCAAAAGGATGAAAATGTAGAAGAGGCCTTGATATTTCACAACAGGACACTGGTGAGGGCAATTTCAGTGGAGTGAATGGAAGCTAGATTGTAGGGGATCATAATGCTAGTTAGTGAAAATACATTCAAGACAGGACTAGACAACATATTGATTAAGCATAAAGGTAAATGAAAGGAAGGAGATAGGAAAGTAGATGGAGAGAGAGTTGGGGTCAGAGAGAGAGAGAGAGAGCGCGCGCGCGCGCTTACACTAGTGGGACAATGACATTCATGCATATAGAAAAAAAAGTTGCCAAAGGAGTGACTGGGGAAGAGAAGAAATGGGATTAATTTTAGGGCCAGATACAGGAGCAGACAGAATTGAGAAAAACAAGGAGAACACTTCAGAGTGAGAGCAGGAGAGTGCAAGCAGAAAGAAGAGGCATGGAAGGATCTCTTTAAAGAAGCTGAAGATAACCTAAGAAGAGGGATTTTAACAAGGGAGTGAAAGGCACAGAAGTTGTAGTGAGCTGCTCAAATGTGAAGTAAAACATTGTTTAGAAAGAAAAACTTGCATTGAATGCCTGGAAGAAGTGGAATTACACATGAAACACTTCAGTATAATTACTGAATGAAACTGAATGTGAACCCTTTGCACATGAACTACTAAAAATCTGTTCCCTCCTCTCTTCCACTAAGATAAGCATAACTACGTACATCAAGAAACGACTCCTGTGTTAAATGCCCTATTGCAATAATAATTTTCATGGTTTTGGTACAATTTTAGGACAATGCAACTATGAACAGGTCATTTTATATTACTTTTAAAATGGTGCACTTTCTAGTTCCTCTTCATAAACATAATTAGCTTTCTCATCCCATCAAATAAGCAATTGTTTGCCAAACATTTATTTTGTCAGTGCTTCTAACAGAGCTGAAACGATCTAGTTTATTTTTATTATGTAGACACATTTGTTTAAAAAGGTCTTAAAGACAAAAGAAGTCTCTTAATTATTAAGACTAAATATTTAAGATAAATATTGTATTTATGTGTATATTTATGCCTGCATCTGTAATTTTCACTCCATGCATCTGAAATGGGCTTTTTACCCACGGAAGCTTATGCCCAAATAAATCTGTTAGTCTTTAAGGTGCCACTGGACTCCTAGTTGTTTTTATGGATACAGACTAACACGGCTACCCCTCTGATATTTAAGATAAAGTAATAAGGGGAATGGGTGGAAAGAATAGTGATGTTAGTTTACAATATAAAGAAAATAAAGAGCATATGTAAAAACCTAATTTGTTAGTACACCATCCTGTGGAAGTATCAGATGAAGATGGACATGCAACATGACACTCTATGGATACACCGGCACATGCCACCAAAACAAACCCTAGGAATAACAAGCTGCTCCTGCCTGCCAAAAAGGGTCTGTTCTAAAATTTTAGTTTAGATAATGCTAATAGTGACCTTAGAGCTAGTTACTCTCTCATGCTGATATGACTTGGTTACTGAGCTAGTGCTCCTCAGCTGTGTTTCAGGGCATCAGTCATTAGCGCCTAGGAAATGCCTGGCTCCAAGGTCATTACTGATCAATTTAAGAAAAAATAAGCTTCAATAATGACATTTCACATCTATTTCCCCATTCATTTTGGAAGGGCAGACTTTAAAGTCAAAATGTCGACTTTAGTAGTAACTTAACTTTACTTATATCCTATAGCCCCCCCTCCCCCCCCCCACACACACCACAACATGCTTGATTAGAGTGGGAAGAGATTCTCAAACCTGAATATACACCAATACAATACACAAAAGAAATATCCAGAAAAGAAACAAGTAATCGATAAAGATGCCATTGATATACTTTGTGGGAAGAGGAATCAGAAGAATGCCTCAATAGTGGGCCCTCTAATAGAAGAAAAAGTCCTATCTTCAACAGTGTACGTCAATATTACAAATTCACATTCCCTCTGCTCAGATAAAGGGCAACAGATCCAACAATCACATTTCTATGTAGTATTACTGCCTGGTCAAACAGAGTTTTCCAGGAAAGACATTTGTTGGCATATAATATGCCAAAGTGAGAAGTAGTGTGAAAGGTAGAAATATTTCACAAAATACACCACACACCATCATCTTGGAAACCAATGTTCTAAAGCTGTACTTTCTAGTGTTATATTCTTTAAGAGAAACTACCAATACATTCATTTGATTATACACTCAGAGTAAAGCACACGCAGGTTCGTTGTAACTTTTCACTTTACAATTAGAGTATATGTACTTTAACTTGTCTTTGCCATATTTTCTATCAAATAAGCCAGTGTGATACTAGAAAAGGATAAAAACAAAAAAAAAAAACTACTTATGAGTAGGTTATTTCAGAGCAGGGCCACCAGAATATTTCAGAGCAATGACACCAAATTTGTTCAGTGTCAAAAGCCACAAAAATATGAATAAAAATCATACCTGCTTTGCCAATCTGAACTGCTAGCTTTGTAAGTTTGCCTTGTAGAACTGATTTTTCTTTCTTTGGCATATTTGCTCTCTTCTTGTCTTTCTCATCTCCATCTCCACCATCTTCACTCTTCAAGGGTTGCATTTCCATGGCTGCACCATCTTGAGCTTTGGCTAAGTTTAGAAATATAGGGGACATTGCAATTATTCATTCATAAGTCCAGTCAGACACTGGAATCAGTGTTAGATGCATGTGCTCAGCAATCCCAACTCCCATTAACATCAGCTTTAGTGGTGTCCTTGAAGCCAGTCATTCCCAGCTGATCAATAACGTCACCAGTGATCCCTGATCACGTCAAAACTGGCTTCAGGATCACCACCAGAAATGAATGCTACGTGACCTAGAGGGGCTCAGGTCACTTCTATTTAGATGTTTAGCCAAGGCTTTTGGGAATTTAACATTGGACACTGTTTGAAAATTTGGGGTGAAGTTAGAAAATGTGGGTCTTAACGTTTGCTACTTTTGATTTTAATCATAAGGGACATTTCATATTTGCATTTTTGGGTTAGATTCTGGCAACATTTACCTAGATCCATAATATTTAAACAAACTACTGTATATGGGTGAGGCAGATTAAGATACACAAGCTCTTTTTTCCCTATAATAGACACCTATACAAAAAGATTTTTTTTTTTAAATATTTACCTTTGTTGCGGTTCTCAACAGCTCCATCTTGTTTTTTATCTGTCAGGAACAAAAATAAGGAACTGTAATTTTCAAGCTCCATCTCTCTCTCTAACATACAAGCACTAAAAAAAATAAGTTCTCAAGTCTTATTTCTGTAACCTATGGTTGCTTATTTCTCACATCAATTAACTTCAATTTAAATGTAGAAAATTTGACTGGATACCTAGGAGGAAAAGTAACTTCTTGTGTAATTTTTGTTTTATAATGGAACCATCAAGCTATGGGTTAATCATCTAAGTATAAATATCAACTTTGTTAGACCTGCATATCTCAGCAAAAGAGGTAGCTTAGACGTTCCTGTTTTGAAATTCAGTCTGTTTACTCCTAGGGAAATTCTGTGCCAAAAAATTAAAAATTCAGCACAAAAAAAATTTCTGCATGCAGTATTTCAAAATTCTGCTAATTTTATTTGTCAAAATAACACTACATATTCAAATCAGTTTCAATTATTTGGTAATTTATTTCAAAATACTTGTCAGTAGGTATGTCTAACAATACAGACAGAAAAATTCCCCCAGATATCCACACCTCCTTTCCCCTCAGATCCCAGCTTCAGGGTCCCCCCTTGCCCAGATACCCCCCCCCCCCCCCGAGCCCAGCTGTGCCCCCCACTCCAGCCCAGACATCTGCTCCCCCTGCCCCTCAGAGCCCAGGGATCCAGAGGGAGAAACAGTCTGATGCTGGGTCCCAGGCTTGTGCGGAGTTTCCTGTGCGCCACCGGCTCCTTCCCCCAGAGTGTGCAGGGAACCGCACCTACCAGGAACCCTCTAGCTCCCTCCCCGCTCCTCCTAGCAGTGTCTATGTACGAGGTGGGCTCCGTCAGGTCCAGCCGGCCGCTAGTGGCGGCCAGCAGCACTGTGGCCCATTTCTGTGCGGAAAAGGAAATTCTGCACGCACAATATTAATTTCTGCAAAATTCTGCATTGTGCAGTGGCACAGAATTCCCCTAGAAGTACCTGTTGGACTGTTACAGAACCAGAACTAGGCTTTTTACACTACAGATGCTTCACCAGCACTGCTATGCTGGTGTAGGTATGCCAGCATAGCCACCGAATGAAAAGGCAGCATGAACTGACAGGAATTCTCCTAGCATAGCTAAACACCTCCCATGAATGCCATTAATTATGCTGACAGAAACACTGTTGAAAAAAACTGGGGGTTTTGCAAGCATAGCTATGTCAGCTAGGCAATGCAATTTTTAACCCCCCCCCCCCCCCCCCCGCTTCCACCCCCCCACTCCTAGCTAACATATCTATGCTACAAAACTTTGCAGCATAGTTGAAACCTGAGCAGGGAGGTCACTGCCAAAACTGAAACCACAAATTTAGTAATGTTTTAGCAACACTGCAGATGAGAGAATAAAAATTCAAATTAATACATATTTTGATATTTAGAATCACAAATGCAGGACTGGAAGGGACCTCGATACATTATCTAGTCTAGTCCCATTCACTGTGGCAGGACTAAGTATGATCCTTCTAGACTATCTCTGACAGGTGTTTTTCTAACCTGTTCTTAAAAACCTCCAATGACCTTCCCTTTCCAGAGATATCTGTTAGGACAGTCTTATTTCTTAATGTCCTGTCTATATAGACATGGCAGACTACTTTTGAGTAACAGTTTTGTGTCTGGTCATTTGCCATATAAGAGAATGCCAAAAATCTTTGTGGATACCCACTAATGATAATCTACAACAAAGTGGCCACCTGGGCAAATATGTAAAATCTGGATAGTTTCACATCGTGTTTTGTGTTAGGAAAACCACCTCAGCCCTCCTAGAAGTCAGCTGCAGTGGGGGTAAGATCAAGATCCTAAGATCAATTACTGCAACTGCTATCTTTTTCTGTGGAACCACCACTGCTGCTCAAACCTCTCTTCCTATTGCCCTATCCTGAAAGCGCCAGCATCTCCTGCACCAGCTGCTTGCTTCTTTTCCCCCTTACTTCCCCTCCCTCCCACTGTGAAGGCTACGCAGCTCCAGCTCTCTGAAAAGTGGCTCCCCTCTTAAATGAGCAGCAGGTCAGAGGCTGCTTTGCTCTTCACTCGTCCACTCATAATAGGAGAGGAGGGGAGAGGCGCCATCAGAGAACACAAGTGCACATTTTCTTACCATTTGCCCTGAAGGACCAAAATTTGGACAATCTTAGTTTAAGGCAACCCATTTACAGATCTGAATACAAGGCTGAACTATACTTCAGTATCTTCTACATACAAAAAATGTTTTAATCAGGACAACGGAAACAAAGCAACTAAATAGGATTTTTTAACTGAAAATTGATATGCAATGACACCAAAGCCAGTTTGAATAGGCTTCCAGTACTACGTTTGACAGAAGAATAAGTTATGTTTTCTGCAGAGAAACCCCCCCACTGGTTACTTCAGTAGTCAAGTCTCTAGTCTAATTCAATAAGCCATACAGCAGTAGTTTCTACTATAAGCCTAAATGTAACTGGGTAGGAAAAAGACTCACCACAGCAATCAGCATGTGCCAGACAAAGGCTGACATCCAGTCCATGCTGCTTAGTAAATATGTATTCTAGGTCATTGCCTTGACTATTCTCTTTACCCTGGAGGGAACCATGACTTTAGTTAAGTGGATCTTTATTTCCACAACCAATGCTGCCTTGATAAATGGTTATTGTCTGAAATTGGAAAGGTATCCAGGTTGACACTTAAGCTACAAAATAAAAAAAACTTTAAGAACACACAGTCTTCATGATTTTGAATCCTCATATCTAAGCTGAGGATTTATCTGCAGGTTTGCATAGTGAATGAATTCAGAGAGTGCTGTTTCCAGATTTATGAGAGAAAGAGATGTTCCTAGTTTTTGAAAGACACTCAGATTATATGTAGGGACAAGTCAATATTGAACAAAAGAGCACTACTTGCCAAAAGGGCTGTCTTGTTCTTTGTCTGCTTTGGCTAATGTGAATTATATTAGAAAGTCTGTGTTAAAAAGATAGCACTGAAGGAGGAAGGGAACAGATGCATTAACTCCATGCCAAGGGGTCAATGCTTGTTTGGTTTTTCTTAAATTTAAAGAAAGAATTAGCCTGCTTTACCTGAAGACTTTGTTGATTTCTAATAGGAGTAAGAAAAGACAGGGTTAAGAGGAGAAAAGATACTCTGTGTGCTGAGCTACCATAAAAAGGTTCCAAAGGAACTGTAATTGCCAACCATATCTTCTGCTACTGTTTTGCCTTAGTAACCCAGCCCACCTTTTGAATCCTGGGGAAGTTTCTGGGATAAGATATGGAGTTGTGTACCTTAAAAAGGAACATGGAATTATTTAAGATAGGAAGAAATATAATTAGCCTTTGGCAGAGATCCTAAAACAGATTATCATCCCCATAATAATTGATATAGATTATTGTGGAAGGAATATTTTGCTTCAAGTCCTTCCCAACTTCCTGGAAAGACATTTTTAGTGAGTGATGTAATGATTAAGGCCCTCTTCTAGGAGTCCTCATGTTTATCTCTGGTACTATTTAGTTCCAATAGCCAGTTGCCAGAACTGAAGTTATGGAAAGAGTCATACGGAGTAAGACAACTTTTTCCAAAGAGCTGTTCTCCATTGATTTGTCTTCTTGAGAAGACAGTAGATGCCAGGTTGAAAGATTTTTGGCTGCAAGACATTACATGGGAACAGGTGCTCTGCACAGGCCACTGCAATCTGCCTGACCTTGCCAAACAGTACCGACAGGACAGGAGAATATAAACTTTAAAGAACTCTAATATTACATTTTTCAGCCATTTAAAATTCAATGCTTACTTTTCTTGTCCTTTTTCTCCTTCTCTTTCTCTTCATCATCCCCTCCAGCCCCAAGTAAGGTAAATATAATTCCAGTTTGAGAGTTCACACCTACAGCAGTAACTACCATTCTTCCAGAGCCTTCCATCACATGGGTACCTGAAACAGAGTACATCTTAATACTTTTCCCAGTAAGTGTAAAAGTAGCCAGCTAGCAAAGCAATAAAATCAAATGTTATGGGTTTTTTGTTGTTTTTTAATAGAAGAGTCACTAAATACTTGATTAAATTATATATGATCCCTTGATTTGTGTTTAAAATTGTAGAAAAGTTTAAAAAGTTTAGACAGACTGTTCTTAAGAGACTAATTGGATGCTAGGGCAATCTAAAAATGTATAAGGCATTTTCCTGCACTTTTTTCTGCTATTCCAACTTGTTTTAACAGAAACACTCCCGTTCACAGGCCAGGCTTTCATTCTGCTTAACCCTGCAATGAATTTAAAGAGAGTCACATTCTCATGTAAGCAACTTGCCAACTAAATTAGTTTAAAAGCTAGCATTAATATTACAACTGCACAATCAGAGACAAGGCAAGCTCTTAAGGAGTAAACACTGTCTTGACAGCAAAATAACCTATTTTAAAATAAATTATATTCTTAGACAAAAAAGTAAGAGTACGTATCAGCAGTGTAGGATAAAATACCCTACAGGGATATCACTGGTATCTCAAAACCAGGCATTATGAAATTAAGCAATTTAGAGTTGGGGCTAAATTTAAAAAAATCCAAATATGTTAAGGTGTAGAAATATGTAGTTAGGGTATCCAAAACAACTCTGCACAATAGAAAAAATTAAGAGTTTAATCTGTCTTTAAAAATCAATTTACCTTACTCTGAAACTATGAACATTTATAAGTTAGTCATTTCCATACCTTAACATGTTTGAATTTTTTTTTCCATAGTTAAAACTAAATTTATTTGCTGGATTTATAATATGTTGTTTTGGGATAATTACCACATCCTAGTATTTATTTCCCACTCAATTACTCAGACATTCTCACACACTTAACCCAAGAATTTGCACCCAGGAATTTCAGAGTGCTTTACAAACAGGTAAGTGTTCCACTAGTCCTGAGCAAGATTTGAGTTTGTAAATATGGGAAACTAAAGCAAAAGTTAAGTGATTTGGCCAGAGCACACTGCAAACTGGCAGAACTATGAATCTAAGAATTGTCTTCTTCCTCCTTTGTTCCAACTACTAGAAAAAAAATATGTCTCCCAGCTAGCTATGTTGTAGGGACTAAAAAATAATGTAAAGAAAATTATCAAACCTTAGCCACTTCTGCTGTTAAGTGGTGAGATACAATGTTCTCTTCTTTACAGGCCATCTTTAAAAAGCTGAACATACTTATGTAGAATATAGAGCTAAAAGGTTCTCCTCTCTCCCTTGCCAAAACATCGTGCTTATGCTTGTGCTTTATTAGACATTTCATATTGTCTGCCCTGAGATTACGGTGAGTAGACTACTCAAGAAATGACAAAAGGCACAAGAGACAAAGCTGAAGGCATTTTTATACTGTTTAGGTTTTGTTTTACACATTTAGCTTTCTTGGTTAACATTGTGAATGGATAACATTAATAAAGCATGCCACACAAGGGCTCATGAACATACTGTGAGCCATCCAACAAATCCACCAACAAAACCAAGACCAGACCTGATATTGCTGATATTTCAAGGATAAACCTCAAAAAGCTTTCTAATATAAGCTTTCACGTCTGGTTTACATATCATAAATGATAACAGGACACAGCCCATTTTTAGAAGAGTCTTTTGCAAGTCACTTTGCAGGTGAAAATAGCTAATATATGCAGACTTATTAGGCATTGCCTCTGATGTCAGAGTCCCGATAGCACAAGCCCTCAGCAGGGTCATTGGGTCCAGTAGGAAGGAAAACCAGAATTCTAGAAATTCAAGTTCCAGGGTCAGTTATAACCTAGTATCAACTGCTCCATTCTATGAGTTAAATATTAATATTCACGCACCTGACAGCAGCATAGGATCTTTATCCAAAGTCTTCTTAACCTGATCTGATTCTCCAGTCAATGAGCTTTCATCAATTTTAAGGTCATTTCCTTGAATAAGTACACCATCAGCTGGCAGAAGATCACCTAAAATACAGAGCATTAAAAACTGCAAACTTGAAACACTATTAATAAAGTCAAATAATTGAGTTAAATATATATTCACCATATTTTACTTGCGCAATATCCCCAACAATTATGTCGGCTACTGGTATCTGGATGACTTGTCCACCCCTGATGACAGTAAACTTCTGTTCTTGTTCGATGCGGCTCTGCAGCCCCCTAAATTGTTTCTCTTTACTCCAGTCATTGAAAGCGGTTACCAATACCACACAAACTACAGATAAAAGGATTGCAGCTCCTTCAATCCAACCTGTTTCACCTTCCTCCTCTTCTTCACCAACAGTCACTGCTCCACATGCTGTAAGAAATAAAGACTTTTTTTAAAAGTTCAAAAATAGACTCCTTTGTAATCCATATTAACTTTCACAAGGAATAAATTTATACTGACTTTAGTCTGGTAAAAGGATTTCCTAAGAAAGGCTTAAATTAAAGCTGGTCAATGTCTCATTCAGAGATTACAAGAGAGAGTAGGAACAAGTAGGAACTTATGAGAGAAGTAGTGTAGTTCAGAAACTCAGGAAGCAAAGAAGGATTTCAGTGGGAATTATAGGTGCTCAGCAGTTTAAAAATATCAGACCATTTATTTAGATATCAGAGTTAGGTGCTTAAGTTTGAAAATTTTAAGGGTCCTTATCACTGCAAAGGTAACAGCTATCCAGCTCCAGCAAATCTTTTTTGTTCACTTTTACCCGGCAGCTGCTCAGTGACAAGATTTTGGTCAGTTGCCCTACTACTATTCAGAACTCTGCCAGTAGTGAAACAGAAGAACGCCTGTTTCACTCTTCTGGCTGCTTGGAGAAAGCTCTGAGCAGCTGGAGGGAAGATCCAGAGGAACGGAGACCTTTCCTCCCCTCCCCAAAAGAATGTGAAGTGGAGTAGCAGAAGAGCGGATATTTAACCTCCCTTTTCAGTCTCCCTCTGATCCTCCCAAAACAACAGTTTGGAAGAGGTTCTAGGCAGGAAAGGAAGAAAAAACCCTTTTCTGTTCTAGCAGCTAAAACAATGTGGAGCTTTAAGTGTGCCAGATAGTTAGTAGCTAGAGGCTTATTCAAAAGATGAGCCCCTGAGGGGGTTCCACCACCATCATCTTGGAGGAAACCCTAGTACTCTCCCCATCTCAACAGCTATGTGCTGCATGGAAACTGATCTCTCCCAATGTTTCTCTTGACCTGGTTGGTGAATCTTCACCACTGTCTTGCTTTATCTACTTTTGACTACAAGCATTACCTGCTGGTATATTTTTTGCAGTCCTGAACAGAATGAGATGAGATATTGAAACTAAAAAAAAAAAAAAAATTGGCATGTTTTCAATCTATAATTAATTTCTAGTTATCTTCTGAACCACCTCGAGTCTTCCAGAGCAGACAATGCTTTTAACTTCTGTTTACATGAAGAAATGTTCCCCCCACCTCAAACGTCACAGTAGAGGCAAAGGCTGCAACAGTGGATTTTCCTTCAAATTTTGAACCATAAAAACAAAAGCCATGCTTTGACAAAAATTTCAGTTTGAAAATTTCAAGAAACTCTGGCCAGAACTTCAGAGACAGTGCTTCTAAACAAGCTGTAAAAGGTAGTTGTGAAACTTATTTTGGATTTATGATTGGAACAGTTACTAAATTCTGCCATCCAAATTGACAGCAGCAGCTGTCAGTCTGGATGATCTACAGAATTCTGGAGGACTGCTCAAATGGTGAACTAGGAGCAGCTCTTAACTTTGACTATTTCAGAAGTTGTAACAATCAAAATAGGAGTTACCCTTTTAAAAGCTTTGATTTAACAACTGACAGTTATGTCCATAGTATGAAGTATGGTGGATAAAAACCATTAAATATTGGATTTTTTTTAAATTGGATTTTGTTTATTTTTAAAAGTAAACATGTATTTAACTTAAATCTATTCAAAATTAAATTTGAAATCAATAAATTATGTTAAGGGCTAAACTTATTAAAATCTATCAATTTTTTTTTTTTATTTAAGTTAATCAGTATACGTGTTTGCTGCCAACTTTTGGAGAAAGTCAAATCACTGAGCTGGTAGAAGGCACTGGCTAAGCACCTGGAACAAAGCTTGGTGAAATGCTATGCCAGCTCTTGATAGCAGTAGCCTCTTCTGAAGGCACAGAGAAAGTTTTCTTCATTTCAGTTTATTCAACTAGTTCAGTTCAATGGCTACTACATTCAAAGTTAAGAAATCAATTGGGAGTTGGGAAAAAAAAAAAAAAAAAAAAAGAAAATTTTTTATTTTTTAAATAAAAAAAAAAAAAACACCCAGAGTTAGGTGTGAAAAGTTGAGATCTTCTAGTTCTAAAATCTTGATGGATATGACCAGAAATAATCAGTTCTGTTCACTAACTACAGTTAACACTTTAGTTTTAAATGCAAAACATGTTTTCTTAACTTTGATCATTTTTTCTTACGTAGCCACCACATTTGTTATATTTAGCTAATATATTTTCAAATTCTTTTTTGCATTTAATTTGCATTTCCATCCAGAACTCAACACAAATCAAATTAAAAAAACCCTAGTAAATAAGATTATTCACCATTTATAATAAATTTAAAGATTAAGAATCCAAGTAAAATTCAGATGTAAATTAAGCAACATGATTGCTTAAATAAATGTGTACAGATATCCTAAATTTAATGTAAAGGCTATAATTAATTGCAAATCAACATGTTTTAATGCTTACAACTAATGAGAATCAACCTTTCAGAAAAACTAAAAAGTACAAATGCAAAATAATTTAAATCAGTGCATCCTGCTTGGTGATTTAAATCATGATTAAATTTGATTTTATTTAAAGAAATCCACCCTGCTATGAAGTCATCCTTGAGCTATACTACAAACAATTCTGTTTAGCTGATATTTATGCTAGTTTCTGAAACAGCAAAGGTTACTCAAATTCAGTCAGATCATCTGGTTGTCTCTCTTAGGTCTGAAGAGTTTTAGAAGATTCTTTGACAGGTACTGAAATAGCTGGCTCAGTGGAGAAAAGGGCTTGGTGACTCAGACCTGTGATCACATTAGTCACAAGAACTAGAACGTCTAAACTGAACTTGAGAAGAACAACTTGTAGCAAGAACTCTGCTATCTATGCAGCCTGGATAGGGTTTCACTTTGTCTTGATGGCTGGGTCAGCTTCTACAACCTCATGAAAGATGTCTGGGAACAGGGTGAAAGAGCACCAGACTGGAAACTGTTGTATGTCCATTTTTATTTAGTCAACACTTCTTTGCATTCTAGTTTCAACTTGTCAAAGCAAAGAAGCCACCATTATGTTTGCCCCCACCCCAAAAAAAAACAAAAAACAAAAACCCTCACTGAAAGCCTGATCCAAAGCAGGTGCTGAAGTTTTTAAACTGATAGTTCTGAGTGACTGTACAGACAATCTTTTCATTTCTGAATTGGAGGATCAAAGACGGTGTTAACTATCATTTACAAATGAGAAACAGAAGACTGCTAGACATGCCAGCTCCCAGTGGAAAAAACCTGGTCAACACTATCTGGAAACAATTCTGTTTATTCAGAATCTTCAAGAAAGAGAAAAGCTAAATCTTAATTTGCATTTCATTGCATGAAAACATGAACTGTGTGGGCTGTTTACTTTTGAAGAATCCAGCAGCTCCTGCTGCTTATGCCTCATTTGAAGTATTAAAGCTTGTGTATGATATCACTTCACAGTCAAATCTGACTATGAACACAGAATATTATTGGAATTGCCATTTTAAATGCAACCAATGCACCTGTTTTTATGCTAGTGTTATCCCAGTAGAGAAGTGAAATGGAAAGCAAGCAAAATTACTTTGAATAAGAATGTTCTTGGTCTCCATTGGCTGATTAAAATTGATCTTATGTAAAATTTAGAATTGAAGTTTCACAACACTGCAATTTACATATATTAAATATTTCTTGCTTCAAGGTTTACTTACCTGCTTCGTTCCCTCCTGGAGGCTGGTAAAAAGAAAGGCCCAATGATATTATGGCTGCAATTTCTAATATAATTAGGGTAACATCCTGTAGTGCTTCCCATACTAACTGAAGAAATGTTTTTGGCTTTTTAGGAGGTATAAAGTTCTTCCCAAACACTGCTTCTCTTCTCTCTATATCTGCTGGATTTCCACTTAGACCTAAATAAAAAAAATAAATAAATAAATTTCAGCATTCGTTTTTTTATAATCATATGCATTTCCCATTCACGAAACTCTGTATAAGCCAGAAGTGTCACTCTCTACAACCACAGCTAACTTAACAGGTAGGAATACAGCATGATACTATATATTAAATACTTTCAAGGATGATTCTTACATAATACAAAGTAATCTTTAAATTATTGGGGTTACAAAGAAGGAAACTATCACAAATCCACCCAATTTAGGCTTAATCTATTTCTGCATTTTTTATACCATTTCAGAGAGAATTATTGTCTCATGTATCTGAACATATATGTATGCCAGACAATAGATAAGACTGAATTGGTAGGGGGCTCAAGCTACCATATTGCGGGGCACCGAGAAGTTCTCCTATATCTCATAGCTACTAAGGCCAGAAAAGACCATTATGATCTAGTCTGACCTCCTGTATAATACAGGCCATAGAACTTCCCCAAAATAATTCCTAGAGTAGATCTTTTAGAAAAAAATCCAATCTTGATTTTAAAATGATCAGTGATGGAGAATCCACTACAACCCTTGGTAACTTGTACCAATGGTTAATTACTCTCACCTATTAAAAATTTATACCTTATTTCCAGTCTGAATTTCTCTAACTTCAACTTACAGCCATTGGATTGCATTTTACCTTTCTCTGCTAGACTGAAGAATCCATTATTAAATATTTGTTCCCATACTTCTACACTGTAATCAAGTCACCCCTTAACCTTCTCTTTGATAAAACTAAATAAATGGAGCTCCTTGAGTCTTTCACTATAAGGTAGGTTTTCTAGTCCTTTAATCAATCATTCTCATGGCTCTTCTCTGAACCGTCTCTAATTTATCAACATCCTTCTTGAATTGTGGGCACTAGAACTGGACACAGTATTCCAGCAGTGGTCGCACCGGTGCCAAATACAAAAGGTAAAGTAAAATAAGTCCTCTACTCCTACTTGAGATTTCTCTGTTTGGGCATCTCAGGATCACATTAGCTCTTTTGGCCACTTCAATCATACAGGGAGCTCATGATGGTTGTCGCCGCCTCCGATCCCTTGGTCTGGTCCCCTCATTCTTGTCCTTCAGTTTCTGGTTCAGTATTTCTCCAGTGAGAGCCATGTTCACTTGGATTATTTTACATTTTCACATTCCATATTACTGAACTTTTCTCCAATCAGCTTTTTAGCACATCACACTTTATGTAACCAGTACACTACACATGCGCAAGCTTCAATTTACATAACTTCTGCATTTTTTTAGGTCATGTTTTGTGTTACCTTGTTTCTGGGTCATCCCACTAAAATGCTTCTTGTCATTTCAAGTTTGTGTTTTGACCTCAAAACTTCCAGCACATTACCTTTATTCTGTTTGCAATAGAATCATTTTAAGCAAATCAGCAATTCTATGTAAAAGAACAATTGGCAAAACAACACTTACGCTAGCAAGGCTTGGCATAAGCGTTCTCTCATACAAACTCATTCACTATCTATAGTTAGAAATCATTAATGTATAGTTATCAGAGCTTTTAGTTGTACTAGGGTTACCATTCGTCCGGATTCCCCCGGACATGTCCGGATTTTTGAGCTAAAAATAGCGTCCGGGGGGAATTTGTAAATGTCCAGACTCTTCCCCCCCCCCCCC